GGAAGCCGCGAGGAACACTGTACCTTCGGTCAGCAAGAGGGTCTGACGCGGAACCCGACCTACGCGAGGTGCCTGCAGGGTGCAGGACACAGATGCCTGCGGACATCTGGAGGCGGCTTTGGGCTCTGGGCAGGTGCAGCTCCTGGCGCCCCGACTCACGGTGAACAGAAGGCAAGGGGCCCGGAGGGCCAGGACAGATGCCATGTGTGTGGAGCACGCTGCGAGAGGGAAGAGACGCAAACCACTTGGTGTGGTCGCGCATGCCCAGCACCCGAGCTACTCGAGGCTGAGGCAGGAGGACTGCCAAGCTGGAGGCCGGCCTGGGCAATTCATTGAGACCCCGCCACCTGCCGTGCTGGGCAGGAGGAGCGGACATGTAGGGTGCGGCGCCGGCGCTGCAGGGTTCCTGTGGGTAGAGAGCGAGCCCAGCCTTCCAGGGCATGGCAGGCAGGAGGAAAGGTAGTCTGCGCAGGGGCGGAGCGGGAGCGGGGCGGCTCCGGGAAAGAGCTCGCCGGAACAAACGATGGGTCGAGGCCAGGACGTGACGACGCCCATGAGACCTGGAGCGCAAGCGGGACGCAGGCGCGAGGGCCAGGGCAGCTCCCGGGATCGCAGCCCTCGAGTGTGTCCACGAGGGGCAGGCAGCGTGTGCTTCTGAGGCAGGAAATCCACACGGCGACCCGGGCCGCGAGGGGTCTGGACCGCACACAGGCGCGCGTGCATCCCCACGCAGGGACGCCTAGGGACCTCCCGCATAGCTCAGGGAAGGAACCCTCTGCATAGAGGCCCAGCACTCAAGGAAAGCAACGCCGTGGGGGCCGTGCCTGTCGGGTCGCCCCACTGGGAGGAAGGCGCTCTGAGCCAAGAGGGAGCCAACAGAAGGGACCACCAGGAGCGGATGAGGCTTTTCTGGGCCGCTTTGTAGATGTGGGGTGCGCATGCTGGTGGAGAATGCCGGTGTAACCAGCTGAATGCAAAGCGGCGCCGGAGCAGCATTGAGAGCAAAGGCAAAGACGCTGCAGATGAAACGCAGGGATGGGCGGTGCTGACGTAAACGAGTGAGTCTGTCTGAGTCGGGGAGGCCAAAAGGAACCAGTTGGGACGCAACCCACACATCAGCTAAGGTTTTCATTCCCTGCTCCCTTCCCCTCGCTTTCAAACTAAAAGGGTAAGTGGACTGCGGTCGAAGCTATGGAAGCAGTTGACACAAGAAAAATCACTGCCCTGCGTGTGGTGGTGCACACCTGTAATCCCAGCACTCAGGAGGCTGAGGCAGGAGGATCATTGCAAGTTCAAGACCAGCCTGGGCTAGAAAGTGAGCTCAAGGCCAGCCTGAACTGCATAGTGAAATCTTGTCTCAAAAAAGGCAAATAAATAAATAAATAAAATTTAAAAATCACTGCATCTCAGGCATCCCTAATCTGAAAATCCCAAATCCAGAATGTTCCAATGTCTGAAACTTTTTGAGCACCGACATAGTGCCTCAAGTAGGAAGTTCTGCACCTGACTTTGCATAGTGGGTCACAGATGGATTGCAAGGATCCCAGAAACACTGCAGGAAATTCCCTCTAGCTGTGTATACAAGGGGTAAATGAAATATTAAAAATTTGGGGGGGTTAGACTTAGGCCACATCCCCCAAGATATCTGCCTATGTACCAAATATTCCAAAATCCAAAACACTTCTGGTCCCAGGTGTTTCAAGCAAGAGAGGCTGACTATGTACACACAGTCTGTGTCTTGGATACCTGTGCTGGTGCCACTGAGCCTGTCCCCTCCTTGTACCCCCTAGAGAACTGTATGTCAGATAAAGGGACAAATGGTAATGATGACCTCCAAAATCTGGATAGTTGTAGTTCTTTACAGCAACATAGTTTTATTTAAGGCATTTATACACTTTCAAAAAATTAGTATATAATTATGTTTTATAAACACCTAATTAAGAATATCATACTACCGAGAGACAAGTATGTGGGGGATGGGGCCGTGTAAGGGTTAAATGCTGATCACAGTGCCTCTGGATTCACAGCCTCTGAAGGCAAGATAACACTGCTGCTGGGAGCTGAACCTCACTCAAAGGATTCCAGAGCGGTAACTGTCAACCTTAGAGGAAAGACAGTTTTCTTAATTGGCAGAATTTATTGCTGGAAAAGTCTTTATTCTAACTTCTTAAGGTCCTGTTCAGTTTCCCACTTTTATCTCAACTTTTCCTTTCATTTTCCTTCACGCACCCCAAATGTGTCTGAAACCCAATAAATACTGGCAATCCAGAGAAATCCTAGCTCCAAGAGTGTTCTGACCTTTCTGGATCCCACAAACCATATTACTTGTCTCTTATTTAAGCTTTTACTGTACACTCCTTTTAGGAGATCAGAGGCCTGCCCAACCTCTGGATATAAATAGGGAAAGGAAGAGAGAAAAACTTACCCCTATGACATAACCACTCTCAGAACACTGGGAATTTATATTGATAGCATTTTATGTATGTAGTAACAAGTTTTTGTTTTGTTGTACTCGGGGTTGACCCAGGGCCTTTGCACTAAGCCATATCCCTTTTTAAAAGTTTTTTTTTTTTTTTGAGTCAGAGTTTTCTAAGTCACTGTTTTCCTAGCTAGTCTCAAATCTGCCGTTCTCCTGCCTCAGCTCCCCAGAATGCTGGGATTAGAGGTGAGTGCCACCATGCCTGATGAACAAATTTTAAGTACAGTAATTGATACTAAATTATTTTTCACTTAGCTTTTTCTATACTACTGGTACTGCTATTCTTCCATTCAACCTGTTTTATTGTACTTTAAACCTTTACTGTTAAAATGCTTGTGATTACAATAAATACCTTTGTGATGAACATCTATGTGAATTTTTCTCCCATTTAGATTTATTTTCTCCCTATGATGGATTCCTAGAATTGAATCACCAAATATGACCATTTTGAAATGACCACTGGCGAGTACCATGACACACAATGACGCTTGAAGGTGTTCTGGGCCTCTGCCACCTAATTCAGGACATCTGTGTCAGCAGAATGGACATATAGGGCTTACCCTGGGATGATTCACTCTCTCTGTGATTACATTTTTAAAATACTGGCCCAACATGTGTCCCTTTAGTTCTATGCAATTCATGAGGAAATGTGCATCACTGTAGGCCTGGTAAAAGCTTGATGAAGCACTTTTTTGCCATCTAACACAGCACACATCTGCAGATGGTATTACCATTGGAACCCCAGAGCAGTGAGGCCCAAAGACATTGCTCCAGTGGGTTAGACAGCACCCGCTTCCCCAGGCGTCAGTGCAGCAGGACTGAAACTCTAGCCGTTTACATGCCACTTCTACACTGTTTCCATTTCTGAGTATTACCTATCACAATATTTTCCCCTTAAAATTAGTGTTAAATTAGTGAGATTTCTTTTTAGCATCTTCCTAAGCAACAGTATTCATAAAATCCAAGGTTTTATGAGGTAACTGTATTTTTAGTTCATATTAAACATGGAAGTCAAACACAGGTAAAAGTTTAATATGCCACCTAAAATCCATAGACTGTGTCCTGATGGAAATTTGAGGAAATTTGTACTATCTGTTCTTCAGACATAAAAGAATGATAACACCAAACAATATTCTCATTTTTAGGTCTGTTCATCCCACGGATTGCTTAAACAAAGCAAATCACATCTTGCAAAAAATAGATGGCACTATTAATATCAAGAGACAAAGACTTCTTCATAAACTATATGCAATTACAGTGACAAAAATAAGGAATGTGTTTATACCAGAGGCTTGAGTGCAAGTTTCTGTAAGAATTATTCAACCTATAGGTACGTACATTTCAAGAAAGAAAATAATTTACAATGAATTGTTTATGCCAAAAACCATCATTTGCTGATGTCAATTAAGGGACATGAAAAGCAAAACATGTTTAGGAGAAAGTGATCAGTGAAATTCTTTGGAATGGAAGCAATAATAGAATTTCAGAAATAATGTGCGATGCACATATTTATTCTTAAGGGAAGTTCCGTTTCTAAACCCAAATTATACTACATAGCACTTAATAGGGGTTATTGTTACAGCTTAACAGGTCTGTGATGGGCATCACACAGTATTATTTTATATGTGATTATATACATCATCATTTACACATGTATTAACATTTTAAAATATACTTTTTAAACGTTTAATTTTTGGCTTCCTCGTGCACATGGGGATGCTATGCTCTTGGGATTTTATTGGGGAAAGAATATAAGGATTCATCCCAGACTTTTAATCTTTGAAGTAGTGAAGAAGTTATTTTTAGAATAATGTTAAGTGTTTTTGTTTCTCTTCAGGCTAGAGTTTACAGGGGTTGAGAAGAAGGCCAGAGCCCTAGTTTTAAATGCTAAAACTTCTTACTGGAAGGCCTCTTCTAGCAAGATATACAAGGAACTCAACTTTTCTAGATGCTTCTTCTCTACACAATGCTGTCCACACCCAGGACGCTTGGCTCTTCCTGTGTGTGAAACATCATTTTCATCTGTCTGTTTCCTGCCCAAATTACCAATACCATCATAAAAGCTTTAATTTTTAGGAGCACTGCCTATGTACTCTGGGCCAAAGTCTCAAGGTCAGTTTTTCAAATAAGTAATCCCAAAACTCCTTTAATTCTATAATTGGGCATCTAGATTCAGTGCCAGATGAGGTCAGGTGTTCATTAGCAGGTTTAACAAGCTCTGTGATGCAAGGACCTTGTTTTAAAAATCTTACAAAAAGATTCATTTTCTTATTTTTATAATAACTCTTACGGGCAGTCCTGCACTCTTGTCTGTCCCTTCCCATCCCATCTGCTCCTCCCAGTGGCAGATGTGTCTAGAAACGCAAATGCTCTTAAAGCTCCAAAGTTATTCAATGTAGGAGAGACGGAGGTGGAAACAGGGTGACAGGAGCAATCTGTACGTTGAGAAAATATCACCTATGCACGAGATCTCCTTTCTACCCTCATCCATGGCAAATTTTAGTTGAGGGTTGATACTCACTTTTATCTTGAAGAAGATGAGAAACTCTCGGGGCAGCAAACTTGACTGTGAAAATAGTTGATTCTGTGAAAACCTTCTTGAAAAGTACAGTTTCTCATAAGCAGCCTCGGTTTCAGGGAGTGGGAATCTGAAAGAAGACAACTCCCGTCACTGAGTCAGACGTGGCTGTGCAGTTCGCGTCCTGACTTGCACTTGCAGCAGCTCTAGCACAGGGCACACCCCTCGGGAGGTGCCCTGCAAGGGACCCTGGGAGTTGTATTATTCCAGAAAAGGCCGGCTCAGAGTGAAAGGGCAAGGAGATGGCTCCTTCGGACTAAGCTAGAGTGCAGAGTCCCTCGAAGGCCAAGAAAAGGGATTGTCGGGGGAGCAGGGAACGTGGCACTGTTCTGACCTGATGTAAGAGGCACACTGAAGCTGAGGCTCTGTTTCCATGCTGTGTCCTGGAATTTAGTGCAGGTTCATTCACGCTGGGCCATGAAGTCTGGAGAATCTGGCAGGAAGCCCGGTGAGGCTGCCCAGTGTGATGCTGAGAACCACCTAAGTGGACCACATGGCAGGCATTGTCTGTCCTGAAGGAAGAACCTAACTGCAGCTCTAGGCTTTGACAAAAAAAGTACCAAAAGCACATGGGAAGACCTTTAAATGTACATCAATCTACATTTTACTGAAAACATTTTTACACGTCTTACTTATTTCACTAATGAATATGGACTCAAGTTGTATCCATTTACCCATAAAAGTCTCCAGTTTATCCTTCTTAATGGCTTAGTACTCCATTGTATAAAAAAAAAAAATCACATCATTTTATGCATTCTTCAGTCAATGGGCATTTAGATTATTTAGATTTCCAAGATCTGATTATTATAAACTGTTTTGCTATAAACATGGATGCACATATATCACTGTGGTTTGATGTTTTTAAATCTTTTGACAACTCATAAAGGGACTAGCTGGGTGGAACGGGACCTCCAATCTTAGTTTGTTGAGAAATCTCCACACTGATTTCCATAGTGGCTGCACCAGTCTGCATTCCCACCAAGAGTGGAGAAGAGTTCCTTTTTCCTCACAGGCCCTCTAGCATTTGTTATTGCTTCATTTCTTGATAATAACCATTCTTTCTGGGGTGAGGTGGACTATCAGTATTGTTTTAATTTTCATCTCTCAAATGACCAGTTATGTTGAACATTTTTTTCTCACATTTATTTGCTGTTTTTATATCTTCATCTGAAAGTATGTATTCATATCAGGTGCTCTTTTTGGATTGGGTCTTTAAATCTGGCAGAATTGGTTTTCTAATATGTTCTCCATCATAATCTTTTGTCTGAGGAACAGTTGGCAAACATTTTCTCCCACACTGTGGGGCGTCTCTTCACTCTGTTGGTGGTTTCTCTTGCCGTGCAAAAGTTTTTCAGTAGGGTGAGATCCCAGTTGTTGTGTAATTGGGATTTTGTTCATAAAGTCTTTGCCTACACTAATGTCTTCAAGAGTTTTACCTACCCTAAATCTTCCAGCAGATTTAGTACATGGTAAAATATATAGATCCACTTTTAATCTTCAGCATGTGTGGAGCCAGTTTTCCTAGCACCATTTACTAAAGAGGTTTTCTTTCAGTGAATGTGTTTGGCACCTTTGTCAAAGATAAGGTGGCTTAGTGTATAGCGAGTTGTTCTTGCATCTTCTAATCCATTCCATTGATACTCAGGTCTGTTTTTTTTTGTTTTTTTTTTTTTGTTTTTTTTTTTTGCCAGTACCGCACTGTTTTTACCACAGTAGCTTTATAGCATAAGGGTTTGTGGTGCCCCCTGTTTTGTCTTTGTTGCCCAGGATTGCCTTTGCTATTTTAGGTCTCTTCTAGTTCCAGGTGAAAATTTTAGGATTGTTTTCTCTAATTCTGTGAGAATTAGAGAATTTCTGTAATTCCAATGCTATTGGAATTCTGATTGGGACTGCACTGAATCTGTATCACAGTTTTGGAAATATGGTCATTTTCCTTATCCAAGAGAATGGGATATCTCTGCATTTTATAATATCCTCATGAATCTCCTTTTTCAGAGTACCATAGTTTTTAGTGTAGAGGTTGTTACAACTTTTGTTCAATTGATTCCTAGGTATTTCATTTTTGGGGGATACTACTGTAAAAGGTATTGTTTCCCTGATTTCTCTCAGTAAGTTTGTTATTCATGTGCAAAACAGCTATTGATTTTTGAGTGTTGATTTTTTAACCAGATACATTACTGAATTTGCTTTTAAATCTAAGTCTTTTGGTGCAGTCTTTGGGGTCTTTTAAGTAGAGTATCTTGTCATCTTCAAATAACAATAGTTTAACTTCTTTCTTTCCTATCTTTATTCCTTTTATTTCTTTCTCTTGTTTAACTGCTCCAGCTAAAGTTTCCAGGACTATGCTGAGTGGAGACAGTAGACATCCTTGTCTTGTTCCTGATTTTAGAGTGAAAACTTTCAGCTTTTGCCCATTTAGTATGATGTTGGCTGTTCATTTGTCATAGATGGCCTTTATCAGATTGAGGTAAAGATCATATATTCCAATTTTTGTAGGGTTTTTACCATGAATAAGTGCTGGACTTTGTCAAAAGCTTTTTCTGCATCTATTGAGATGATCATATGATTTTTTGTTCTTGGTAATATGGTATATTACATTTATGGATTTACATTATGTTGAACCATCACTGCATCCCTGGGATGAATCCCACTTGATCATGGTGTACAATCTTTTTGATGATTTACTACAATCTGTATCTTTGCTAGTATCTTATTGAGGATTTTTGCATCAATGTTTATTGGAGATTGGCCTACAATTCTCTTTCTTAGTTGGGTCCTTCTCTAGTTTTGGTATCAGGGTAATGCTTGATTCCAGGAATGAATTTGGAAGTATTGCTTCTTGTTCAATTTTGTTAATAAGTTTGAGAAGTAGTGATGTTAGGTCTTCTCCAAATTTCTTATAGAATTCAGCAGTGAATCCATCAGGGCCTGGGTTTTTCTTTGTTGATAGGTTTTCAATTACATCTCAGATTTCATTTATTGATATTGGGTTGTTTAGGGTTTTTATATCTTGATTCAGTTTTGGTAATTCATATGTATCTAAGAATCTGTCCATTTCTTCTGCATTTTTCATCTTAGTAGAAAACAAGTTTTCAAAGTAGGTATAGATGACTTTCTGGATTTCTGCAGGGTCTGTTGTGATTTCACCCTTTTCATTACTAATTGTGTAGATCTGAGTCTTTTCTTTCCTTTTTTTGGATAAGATTGGCTAAGGGTTTCTCAATTTTATTTACTCTTTCAAAGAACCAACTCTTAGATTTGTTGATTCTTTGTATTGTTTTTTAGTCTCCAGTGTGTGAATTTCTGTCCGGATTTTTATAATTTCTTCCCTTGCACAAGCTTTTCATTTAGCTGCTCTTATTTTTCTAGCAGTTTGAGGTTCAATATTAAGTTGTTTAAATGCACTTACTCTGCTTTCCTAAGATAGGTATTTATTGCTACAAATTTCCCTCTTAGAACTGCTTTCATTGTGTTCCACATGTTCTGGTATGTTATATTGTCATTATCATTCAACTGTAAAAACTGTCTAATTTCTTCTGTAATTTCATCCATGACCTATGGTTGTTCAGTATGGTGCTATTTAATTTCCATGTGTTTATGAAATTCTTGTGCTTTCCTTTGGCATGGATTTCCAGTTTCATTTCACTGTGCTCTGACAGTATGCATTGGATAATTTCAATTCCTTTGCATTTTCTTAAGTATGTTCTGTGAGCCAGTATAACATTTAATTTGGAGAATGTCCCATGTATAGCTGAGAAAAATGTATACTCTGATGTTGTGAGGTGGAACACTCTATAGACATTTACTAAATCCATTTGCCTAAAAGTTTGATTTAGTTTTAATATTTATTGATTTTTTTGTCTAGTTGATCCATGTTTTTGTGACATTGGGTATTGAGGTCTCTCAATACAATTGTATTAGGGCTTGATTTTTTATATTTGTTAGTAATTGTTTTATACAGTTGGGTACACTAGTAATTGTTGCATGTATATTTAGGATTATTATCTCTTTCTCTTGGATTGTTCTCTTTACAAAGATACAATGATCTTTAAGATTTTTTTTTTTTGTCTTTTTCATTTTTTATCGGTACCGGGGATCGAACTCATGACCGCCTGCTTGCAAGGCAGGTGCTTATGTCGCTGAGCTAAACCCCCTGCCCCACATACAATGATCTTTATCTCAATCAGTCTTGGCTTGAAATTCATTTTGTCTGCAAATAGAGTAGCTCTCTCTGCCTTTTTTCTGGGTTCTTATCACATGGGATATTGTTTTTCATCCTCTCACTTTCAGTTTATGAATTTCTTTTTAAATTAAATGTGTTTCTTGTATGTAGCATGTTGTTGGATCTTGCTTCTTGATCCATTCTGCCAGTTCATATCTCTTGACTGGTGAATTGAGACCATTAACATTGATGGTTATAACTGGTATGTATTGACTTATTCTTGTCATGTTATTTGCCTGTTATTGGCTCCCCCACTTTTTCCCCTTCCCTCTAATTGTTTGCCTTCCATGGTGGATTCTTTGTGTTGGGGTTCATGGAGCTTATTATGTCTTTCTAGAATGTCCTTAGGACACTTTGGAGTGCTGGTTTGGTGGTCATAAATTTCCCCAGATGTTCTTTGTCATGGAAGTATCTTATTTTCCATCAATTTTGAAAGCTAGTTTGCAGGATACATCAATCCGGGTTGAAAGTTTTTTTCCTTTAGAACTTGGAATACTTCACTCCAAGCTCTCCTTGACTTGATTATTTGTGCTGAGAAGTCCACTTGATTCTGAAGGGCTTTCCTTTATAGGTGATTTATTTGTTTTCCATAACAGCTTTTAAGATTCTATTCTTCTGTTGAATTTCTGGAATCTTGACTATGATATGCCTGGATGTAGATTTTGTTTAGTTATTGATAATTGGAGTTCTGTATGCTTCATTTATGTTTGTCAAATTCTTCTTCTCTACCAGAAAAATTTTCTGTCACAATGTCTGTGAACATGTTTTTAATGTCATTTGTGGTTTCTCCTGCTTATTCAGTGACTCCAATTAATCTTAAGTTATCCTTCTTTGTCTCATCTAGCAGTTACTGGATTGATTTCTCATGGCCCCTTGCTATTTTTGAAAAACTTTTCATTTCCTGTCACTAACTGCAAGCCTATCTTCAATATCTGATACTCTGTCCTCACATTGACCTAATCTGCTTCGAATACTTTCAATAAAGTTTTTATTCTCAGTATCTGCTTGAATCTGTTTTATGGACTGCATTTGTTTCCTGTGTTGTGCTTCCATACTTTGCTTAAGCTCATTTATTTTTTGCCTATGTCTGCTCTAACATCTCTAAGTATGGTGTGTATTTTGGTAATCTCTGTAGTTATTTGAGAAATTATTTATGATTTTAATTTTTTCCAGAGCCTCATTCAATTGCCTTGTTGTTACCACTTCAGAGAGGCTTGGTGGTGGGGTTGGCTTGTCCCACCTCATTGCACACTGGTGAACTGGAAGTCTGGGGTTGCATATTATTTAACTGTCTCCTCATTTCTTTTCTTTTTTTAGTTTAATTGCTGGGTGATGCTTATAAGTAGGCCCTTAAGTGATGTTATGGATTAAAAACTGATGGTCAGCTTAACGACAGCTGAATTAAATCACCATGATGCTGACCATAGATGTTCCACCTGGGGAAAGTTGCCAGCATAAATAGACTTGGAGAAGGGGAAAGGAGGCATTAAGGCACTGAGGCACCGAAGGGGTCTCCTATGTGAGGCTGTTTGAGCTGCTGGTTCTCCTGGAGAACCTTCGGTCCTTATATCAAGCCTTGCTTCCTGGCTCTGGAGGGGAAGACATGTGCTACTTAATCTCCAGGACGAACTCGTCATGCTAGCTTCCTGGCAGGTACTTGACTGTGCTTATTGTCAGAGAGTTCAGGACCTCCGTGTTGCTGAGGATGGCTGTGGTGCTTTTCACGACAGCCCTGGTTTTTGTTTTGAGCATGACTTCTTGGCTCCAACATAGAACCCTCAACCTATCAGCACAGCTCCTTCACCCTGCTGGCACAGACTTTCTAGCTTCCACCACTGACTTTTGGGCTTTCCCAGCATGGATCAGTAAAAGAGACTGGTGTGAGTCCTTCCTGTGGGCTATAGACTACCAGTTAGACTCATGGGAGGCATTGTCATGAACTCTGAGTCTTCATCTGGACTCATGTGGGACACTGCTGTGGGATTCAGGTCTTTGACTAAATATTCTATGTCTTTAATGTTGGGGATGGATTTCTGCATTTTCTTGTGTTAACCCTGGGTGACCATCTTAAAATAATATTATAAATTCCATGTCCTGATTTTCATTGTTCTCCTAACAACTCCTGACTGCAACAAGTGATGACTACTTCTGCGAGGTATCTTCCAGGTGTAGCTGGTTTTTGGGTTTTGAGTCTATTGGAAGATCTCACCTTTTCAGCTTGTTGGAGATAAGAAGTTGTTGCTTGTCTGACCTAGTCCTTCCTTGGTTCTTTGGCACTGTGCCATGGTATTTTCTGTGATCCTTAGTTAATCTCAGTCATGGATCATCAGGACCAATAGCTGCTTAGAAGAATTATGTCAATTTTGGTTATAATAGTTCCAATAGCTAACTCTTAATTTGCAACTTTTAACCATATGAACTAGATTTGTGATTATGTAACAAAAATGTACAACAAACCAGATAATTATATGCAATATATGAGTCTGTAATGTATCAATTTTTCCCTTGGGGGTTAATGGATTTAGGAGAAAATACAGAAGTGGAAGAAGAGAAAGAGATTAGAAGGTAGGACAAAGGTGAATCATGCCAACTTGGGGAAACTGGTGCAGAAGACTGAAGGAAAAGAGGTAGAACAGATAAAAGGAAGAACAAAATAGAACCACACCCACAAAGACATTAGGAACCACTTTCACACTCATAAAAAAATGAAGGCGAAAGAGAAAAAAAATACAAAAACATAAAAAAGAAAAATAGTCTACTTCCAGGATTCTCTCTGGTTTCAGTAGTAGACAGCTTGTGGAGACAGAGTCCCAAATCATGCTACCTATCCCAACAAGCCAGCAGGTGCTTTATGGTAGAGTAGTGTACAAGCTCAGCAGGCCTGCCCTGAGACCAGGCTCATTGGGCTCACCACAGTCAAGGCAATTTCCAAGGTCTACGTCCAGCTAGGAACTGCTGGAGGAAGCTGGCAGCAGTTCTGGTTTTGGGCTTACTGGCCCAACTCCAAAATGACTCCCAACTAACTGCTCTCTCATGCAAGAGGACTAAATCCTCTATACTCACCGCCAGTCAGTACAGTCCTCCAGGTCCACTGTTCTCCCTCACTGCCACATCTCTCTGCAGAGACCTCTGGGGTCACCAGCCATCACTGCCTCCATGACCATGCATCCCCAGATTCCAACAGCTCCTCTCGTGCAGTGAGTTGGGCTCAGGGAGAAGGCACCACCCGCTACCACCTTCTTTTTCATTGAAATTGTTCTTTTTACTCTCTATGTGAGCTTCAATTTGCACTTCAGATTTTTCCTGTATCCTTCATGTCTTCCTTACAATGTTATATTCCAGTGTCTGGACAGTGACTCTTAGGCAGTTTTTTTCTGCTGCTTACTATTCTGCCATCTTCCCAGAAGTCTCCCTCCTGCAAACGTTTTTGAAGACAACAATATTTCATCTTTCTCAGTCCCTTCTGAAGTTGCTGTGCTGATGTTTAATCTGGGGAAACAGATTTCATTGTCAGAAATTTGGTAAGTTTTGGTAAAGCTTTTCACACGCTCTCTGAAAACAGAATGAATGACTCTAGTAACTGAACAACAAAGTCTTTGCCAAGTTGGATAGTTTCCAACTCTGCTTCTCAGTAAAACAGAAGTAAAGAATCAAGTGGAAACAGCTAAATCACATCAAAAGGTTTTTGACAGATCACTGTGCAATTCTTAACACAGGACCTTAGAATAAGCTCAGTAACTATATGGCATTGCTATAGCAAAACTCTTTCTAGCTCTATTTATATCTAAGAAAGCCCAATTTTTCTCTTCTATGTATGCATTTGGTAGAATACTGTTTTTCCTAAATATAAGTAACATTCATCCACAAACTAATTTTTTTAATTATTTTTTTTTTTGTCTTTTTCCTTTTTATCGGTACCGGGGATCGAACTCACAACTGCCTGCTTGCAAGGCAGGCACTTATGCCGCTGAGCTAAATCTCCAGCCCCCCACAAACTAATTTTTTAAAACATAAATCTCATTGAGAAATGGATCTATAATAAGTATTCTTTTTCATATTCATCACATGTGTTTTTCTTTAAAATTAGCCATGAATGAATGCTTGCATGATTTGTTTTGTCTTTTGTGAGACAGTGTCTCACTGTGTGGTTGAGACTGGCCTTGGACTCACTTTGTAGCCATGGTGGCTACAACTTGCAAGGATCCACGTGCCTCAACTTCCCAAGTGCTGAGATTACAGGAGTGCACTACCACATCCAGCATACTTGGTTTTTAATACTTAATGCTTATCATCATAAGAGGTAAAAATAATTTCAATATATACATATGTTAATTATTTAAAAGTATGATAAAGACTGTGAAGCATACAAATGATTTTAAATTAGGAGGATATCCCATTCAGGAATTGGAATGTGAATAAATGTTTATGGAGATAAAGGAATAATATAAAATCTCTAATGGTTGGAAAAAACCTCATACCTGTGTTTTTATTATATATTTATCAAATTTTTATCAGTACATGTTTGCAGTGCACAGCAGCTACATTCATGGTGAGTTGTACCTATATTTTAAAATTCTTTTTGGGGGTAGGTGAGTAAAAATGTGAAAAATTAAGTGTTTGTGGGGAGAAGGCTGAACATTCTAGTACCCCAGTGAGTGCACTGAATCTTGGGAAAAGAGGAAAAGCAAAACAAGGGGGCTGAAAGTCAGCTGCCTCGCCTCCCTGTCTGGACAGCAGTGTCTGTCTCTGAGGAAGGTCCTGGCAGGGTCCTTGGAGCCCCCGAAACACAAAGATGCTCTGCCTCACTGGTAACACAATGCTAAGTGTCAGGAAGTTCTCCAAGCTAGGAGTTCCTTGGGGTGGAAAGTGAGTAACGGCATCGGCTTGTGTGAGTGCTGGAGGTACCCTCCCGTGAAGGAAGCACATCGGATGTGCTCAGAGCTGCTCTGCTATCACACTAGGTGTTATAATCTTGATTGTAAAACACTGAAGCAAGCAGACATCACTCATCCATGAAACAGCATTCTGAAAGTATGCATCTGGGGCCAGTCTCTCCAGTGCTGTGGATTCAGACGGTACACACAGGCAACACACTCCACAATCACAGCTAGAACTGGCTCTTTGGAGATGTGGCTAGAAACCAGCTGGGAAGCAGGCAGCTTTCATCATCAAAGAGCTTTGTACTTCATTCCAGGGAGTATGAAGAATGGTCTTGAAAGCACCAGGGGTCCACAGGAAATCATACGGTTTTAGGCAGAACATGCAATGCACTAGGGAGGCTGGATCACCAGGGAAGGGTTACACAGGTAGGCAGGTGGATGAACAGGCGAGCAGGAGTCAGGGAAATGAGTTACAGGACCACTGCAGTAATCTAGACAGACATGATGACTAGGTTTCTTTAGTAACCGAGCAGACATAGGAAAAAGAAGAAGTCCTTAAGAGCTGATGCACAGGCCAGGTGAGAGACAAAGGAAGATAGGTAAATGACTAAAGGTGCTGAAAAAACCATAGCTAGTCACAAGATTAGGGAGAACAGATAAGATTTTTAAAAAGATCAGAGTGAAAAATTTGGCAACATTAGCATTTATGCAGGAAAAGCGGGGCCCTCAAAAGAGCTGGGGAGACATTGGCTGGAATGGTGATCAAAACTCAAAATAATGCTCCCAAAACAGAACCAGAAGCATAGTCTGTTCAAAAATGATGGAGAGTTTCTACAAGTCAGCAGTAGAGTCAGGTGGGAACACTGATGGGTCACACTCAGTGCCACAGCTCCACGAGAAGCCCCCAGAGAGGTGACAGAGTGGCTGGGCCACCAATTTGGTGAGATGGACATGGTCAGCAGCATTAAGCAACATGGGAAGAGGGGTGGCTGGGGACAGACACACGTCTACTGGTGTGGCAAGAAGGCCCAGCCAGCACTGACTAGAACAAGTCAAAGAAGTGGACAAAGAAAACAGGTAATAGAATAATTCTAGGAAGCTAAAGAAGTAGAGGAAGTAGAAAAAGAATGTTCCAGTGAGAGTCTAGGTAGACAACATATTCAGAGGGAACATGTCAGCTCCTCCGAAAGGGCCTCCCATATTGTAGGATGATGATTTCAAGGCTGTTTTATAGTAAAATTAAGTGTGTCATAAGTTTGACTACATCACAAAGAGCAAGGAGTGGTTCTATTTCTGTGAGTAGTGACAGAAGGCCATTCTGGACCCTTCTCTCACAGTGCAGAGATAGCAAACACACAGAAGCAGAGCTCCTGAAGGGAAGATGCAGGATGAGGTGTGTGCCGGGCATTTCCCTGAGCTAGTGTTTCCTATTATATTTTTAGGAGAGAACAAAATGGTGGTTACAAATAAGTGATGTACATTTTATGATTCCTTCAATAATATTGCAACATTTTATTATATTAGAATGCTACTGATTCGTAGATTGTAAAAATTCATGGAGAAATGCTAACAAACAAAATTAAATACTTCATTATAATATTTAAGAAAAGTTTTTTTTAAATTAAAAATTATGTTGACAAAGAATACTATTTGAGTGTATTTAGATTCAGTGAAGAAGACTGTTACTTGGCTTGAGGGACAGAAATAACGTACTCTCTCAAAATCTCTTTTTTTTTTTTTTATAAGGCTTCTGGCTTTTGCAGTGTGCAACTAGGGGCTCCAGGGCCAGAATCCACTGGGGGCCCTACTGTGGCCCTTCTAACAAAAGCAGCTATGCTGGCTTTCTATTATTGTGTAACAAATTATCACAAATATTATAGCTTAAAAAGTACCCGTTAAATTATATATATCCACAAGGATGCACCACCCTCATCCCAGGACTCTTGGAGGCTGAGGCAAGAAGACTGCAAACTCGAGCCCAGCCTGGGCAGCTTGGTGATGTAGTGAGATCCTGTCTCAAAATAAAAAGGGCTGGATAGGTAGTTCATGGTGAAGGACCTGGGCTCAATCCTGGTACACACAGGGTGTATCTTAAATAGATGTTGGAATAACTGGAGTACATGTGTAAGATTTTAAGAATTTTGAGCAACAACACATGTTCTAGTTTATGAAAACAAAACATAGCACCACAGTCATTTCAAGGTTGTTGTGGTCAGTCTGGGCCACTAGAGCTGAGCATTGTGCATTTCTCTGCTGAGGCTGAGGGGATGTAGTCAGGCTGGAGACATAACAAAGTAGCCATGTTAGGTTCCCATGCTCCTGTCAGCTGCTGGCTGGGCCATTCTCAGTTCGTGGATGGCACCCAGGCTCCCTAGCCAAGGCCTCTGTGGGCAGCTCAGGCACAGACGTTTGCTGGCTTTCAGCCCAGTGTGTGAAGGTGACTTCACTAAGGTCCATCCTTGTAAGAAGTCACCTAGTAAAGTCTAGCCCAGCCCAGCCATCCTTTCTTTGGGTAAACTCAAGACCACTGATTAAATCTCTAACCCCAGAGGAGGCCTCTCAAAACACTCACAGGCTCCACTCCCTTGAGAGAAGAGACACACAGTGTGTGTCTCAGGGAGGGGCCATGGGGCCTTCTTGGAATAAACCTCTTAGCCTTTCCCCACCATCTCTAGGGAAGTGACACACGGCCAGAACCTCTCCACCCTAAGCCCTCCAGGCGCCTGTCTCTAGGAGACCCACATTTCTCCTAATCAAGTAGCTGTTCTCTCAGGACCTGATTTTGTTGTAGTCTGCTGTCATATGAAAAATACTGAGACAGAAATTGAAACATGAAGTGACACCTGTCTCCTAAAGGATTTCCTTTATTCGGCTCTTCTTTCAAAAGTCTCTGCTTTCTCAGAAGTATAAATCGCCAATAAATGAGTCTGAAAAATGTTTAACATTGCAGGCCACTAGAGAAATGCAATTAAACAGTGCTGAGATTCCCTCTTACACCAAAAGAATGGCCATCACCAACAAATCAAATAATAATAAATGCTCACAAGGCCATGGGGGAAAAGCAACCTATCACATTGCTGGTAGGAGTGTAAACTAGGACAACCATTAGGGAAATCAGCATGGAGAGCCCTCAAAAAATTAAAACTAGTAATTTCATTCAATAAATCAGCTATTTCTCTTCTAAGTGTCTTATTGAAAGAATCGATGTCATCATATTACAGTGATACACACATACTCAAGTTTATAGTATACAACTCACAACAGCAAAATCCTGGAAGCAGTCCATATGTCTTAAATCATCTTTTTTTTTTTTATCGGTACCGGGGATTGAACTCATGCCCACCTGCTTACAAGGCAGGTGCTTATGCTGCTGAGCTAAATCCCCAGCTTAGTCCATATGTCTATCAACAGATGAATGAGGAAAAATGTTAACACAGTAGAGTACTCCTTGGCCATAAAGAAGTATAAATTTGAGTCATTTTTAGGGAAAATGAATATACCTTGAGGCCATGTGAAGTGAAATAAATCAGACACAAAAGCCTACATATTGCATGGTTTCTCTTAAATAAGAAACCAAATGTATGAATAGATTAAACAATAAAACAAAGGACAGTTAATAGGAAAAGGGAAAAAGATCATTTACAAATGGAAAAGAAACCAAGAGATGGAGGGAAACCAAGTGCAGTGGTACACGCCTGTAACCCCAGCACTTGGAGGCTGGCGCAGGACCATCACTGCAAGTTTGAGGCTAGCCTAAGCTACAAAGTGAGTTCAAGACCAGCCTGATCCATTTAGTGAAACCTGCTTCAAAAAAGACCAAAAACAAAAACAAAAGATGAAGGGAGAGACATAAAAGAATTAAGATTTGTACATGTACCAAGTTGGAACATGTACAAAGTTGGTACATGTACAAATCTTAATTCTTTTATGTCCCCATAATCATTATATACTATATTATATACTTAATTCTTTTATGCCTTCCCATAATCATTATATACTACAAAGGCTAGGAGACCTGAGACAACATTTTATTTCTAAACATTAGTACAATTTGGAAATTTCAGGTTATTCAATGGTAAACAGAAGAGTTTTGGAATATGGGCATTTTCTTTTTCATTATTATATGCCTGTGATACATAAAAATTACTTTTTTCTTGGGAAATATACATGTCACATCTTAATTATTTTAACTTTCCATCTCTAGCCTCTCATCTCCCCCCATCCCTTCCTACCCCTTCTCATCACCACAAAGTCTACCACCTATTCTATGTTACTTTCAGTTTAAAGCATTAATCACTCACAGTTCAAACAGAATATCGCTCCTTTTTGTGTCAAGAAGGTCATGCCTACTGTTTTCTTCTGTATTGAAACAATCCAAGCCTAACTTTTGGGCTCCCCATTTCCCTAGAGTTCCTCTAGCTGAAAGGTTCAGCGTCCTCACTTGACACGTGACTGTGGCTCTGGCATGGCTCAGAGCTGTGCCAGAAGTCAGTCACTGGAAGGAGGCAAGCTGCTGAACTGGCAGGGGGGTGCTGCAGGCTGAGAACGGCTCCCAGCACAGCGTGCTTCACTCTGTGTGGCTCCTTCAGGGCCACACGATGAGCTCATGAAAACAACACAACCAAAATGTGTTTTTGTTCCTTTCAAAAAGAAAACTGAGAATAAGAGGGCTGTAGAGATGGTGCCGGTTGGCATGAGTGCATCCGCTGGGCTGCAGTGGCCATGCGCGTCCCTCTGCCGTAACTCTGTCCAGGGCCTCCTGACTGCGGCCGTGGATGAGAACCTCTTATCGCACTGTGATCCTCTTCAGCAAAGATGTTTTCACCATCAAAGAATTTGGTCCATGGTTTTCTATAAAAGCTAGCACTACTCTATTGTTTAAACTTTGGCTTGGCTAAAAATAAATCCGTAAAAATTATGATTTTCAGAGGTTCCACACAAACAAGAATGGCAATAAAGCACAGGTTACCAACTAGTCACTCTGCCTAGTTTAGATGTTAGTAATCTAACATCTTTTTTATGAAATGCACCGTGGGGAACTGGAAATTCAATAAACAAATGACAGAAGGAAATAGGCACATTTCACTTTGGTACTAGCCCTATTCAAATTTTTGACATTCTCTGTGCTTTCTGTCAGTTTTCCTGCCATTATCTGAAGGGAAGTAACCTTGGCAGGGACAGCTGCCCAGGGCTGGTGAGGAATAGAAACTGCTAAGGAATAGACTCACACTCCCACTGTTTCTCAATTCCCAAAGTCATTTTCAGTTTTGAGATTCTTATCTTTAAGCAGTTATCAGTAACTTACTGAGATTAGATTGTAACAAAGAAATAAAAGCTTAAACCTCCTTTTGAGTCACTTAGTAAACCAAGTAAGCTGACCATTTTAGGGGAAATGGAGAAAAAACAATTTCTAGCAACTTGTACTTTAGCAATTGTATTTTCTGTGCTAAAGTTATTAATAACTTTAACAACACCTACTTTTATGGTCCTTTGCAGTTTATAAAGTATTTTATTTGATTTAGTTTTCAAGGCCGAAGAGTGGAAACTCCACTTCTGAGATCGTTATTTTATTGTGTGGGTTTATTGTGGTAACTCAGTTGAATGTCTTACCTCTCATCTGCTCTTCTGTGCCCCAACGGGAAGGTGATACCCTGGCTGTCTCCGTGCCTGATACGAAATAATAAATGTTGATGATTAACGAACACAACTGCATCCCTTCTGGCAATCTGCCTCAACATAGCTGCACCCCTCCTTGTCCATACTTATAATCCTGACAACTCTGGTCTCTGGAGACTTAACTTCTCCCACGAGATGTCTATCACGTGGGGAAGCAGCAAGTGTCTCATTTTACTGTCACGGAAGTGACCCACAAACGAGCCTGCTGCAGTTGAGGTTAGAATCCAGACGAATAAGGGGCCTCTGTCCCACAGCTATGAGGGTCAGCATGTGTCCCCAAGCCCTGAAGGGGTGATCAAAAAGCACAGTGAAAGTTTAAACACTTATTACAGTAAAAGGAACATTGTCAGAAACGGTGGATGTGTGTTCAAGGTAAGGAGGGGTATTTTGAGAGGGATAAAAAATGTGTCTTTTTGCATAACAAACTGTAAAATGTAAACATTCACTATGTAATTTGATCAACCATTATCGATGAACCATTTACTGTAACTTCTGTTGAATACAGTGTATCCTCATCCATCTTATTCACTGGATCTGGCCTTACAAGACTTCTGACTCTTCCCAAAAGCAGAATGACCACAAAAGGGAAAGCTTTTGAATTCATCAAAATTCTGCGGCAGCCAGGACAGTTTCAATAAAGGCAGTCAGGAAAGGATTCCAGAACTGCTGCACAAAGTGGGGAAAACGATGGGAAGAGTATACTCTAGGCGAGACAAAGTGTTTGAGGAGGATTCGGGACCACGTGTCTTTTACTGAGATGAATCTGTAAAATCTGAACATTTGCATCTGTTGTGCTCACAACCCAGGGACACCCCAGACCACAGCAAGCTCTCCTTGGCACAGCCCTTGCCCCAGGGTGAGGCCTAGGCCATCAGACCCTCCTGCCTCCCAGCGGTCTAGGGCGCCCCGGCCCGGCCCGGCCTCGGCTTTCCATGAAGACACCTTTCACAGTGCGGGTGGGACTCGCCTGAACTCAGCAACAGGTCGGGGCACCGGTTCAAATCCTGCCCCTACCTTTATAAAACCTAGGGACAGTGGCAGGCGCGTGCCGACTCGACGGCTGCCTCACTGGGCCTCCGCAGCCCGGGCGCACGCGGCCTCGCCCCTCTGTGGGGGGCCCTGCTGTCCCCCGGGGCTCTCGAGAGCGCGCTCGCAGGCCGTACCCGGGTCCCGAAGGTTCACCCGCGCTCCCCGCGCGCGCCCTCTGTCGCACGGCCGCCTCCAGTCAGACACCGCGCGCCCCTCGGCGCCAGGCTCCAGGTCCGCGCCCTCGGCACCGCCCCTGCCCGCAGGTGCGGCTGCGCGGGGCCTGGGCCGAGTGGGCGGGGCGAGAGCAAGGGGGCGGGGCCGAGTGGGGGAGTGAGACGAAGGGGCCTTGTGAGTGGGCGTGGCTGAGTCAAGGGGGCCGGGAGTGGCGGGAAGGACAAGTAGAGGGGCGGGGCAGCACGGCGGCGGCTGCTAGCGTGTCCGGCTCGGTGTCGAAAGTCCGGACGTATTCTGAGCGTCCAGCGCGGAGCGTCCGGGTCTCCTCCGCCCGGAGTCGGCGCAGTCCCAGCCACTAGCTGTGCGAGGCGCCCGGAGAGGTGACCCGACGTCCCCGAGGTGAGGGCGCCCCACCCGCGCCCCGTCCGGAGCCGGTCCCCCGCAGAGGGCGCCGGTCCGGGCGGGGATCCTGGGAGATCCTTTTACGGGGATCTCGCGTCCCGGGAGCCGAGTCCGTGCCAAACCTGGGAGAGGGAGTCGCGCATCCGGGTGCGGGCCGGGATGGAGACCGCGTGGGACCGGGTGGGCACCGGGCCGGGTCCCCGAACCCCCCGGGAGTCCGTCCCAGCAGCATGAGCCGGGAGAGCCACGCAGCCCTGCAGAACGTGGCCGCCGCGCTCCAGGCCCGGGACCCAGCGGGCAGGGGGGGCGCGGGGCGGGCGAGATTCCGGGAAAGTCCCTTCCCGGACCCAACATCCGTAAGAAATCACGGCTCCGAGAAACAGAAAGCACGGTGACCGAAGGCCAGAGGGCCTGCGCAGGGGGCTGGGTACCGCGCTGGGGCCGCAGGATGCATGGGGCTTTACGCACCACGTCCCACGCGCGTCGGCTCTGCTTTCCCTCCGAAAGAGTTAGACGCCGCTTGGATAGTCGAAACTGAAGTCGCAGCTCTTCTGAACTCTTAAGACCGGGGTCAGTGAACTTCCTGATGTCCAGCGCAGGAAAAATTACAATTCTGACATTGGAGAGGGCTTTGCGCAGAAGTCGCTTTTATCAATACTTAAATTTCTGTGTAGTTCCGTTAATATATGTATTACTATTTGTCAGACATCGTTGGTGTTTTATAGCCTTGAGATGTCAGTTATCAGTTTGCCATCTAATGATACTTCCTAAATCTCCAATGCCATTGAACTCCATAAAAATCTAGTGATGTGTGCGTTCTGTAAAGAAAAAAAATCTATTAAATGTTTTGAGTAGGTCTTAATGCACATGGTATACAATTCCAAAGGAATAGAATGTTAAGTAAAAATAAACCTGCCTGCCTGCCCCCAGGTTCTCTCTACAGAGGTCACCACTTTCACTTCTGTGTGCTTTCCAGTAATGGCTTTCAGAAGGCCTTTTGCACATTTTTTTTTTCTTTGTACCAGAGATCGAAATCGCGACCTCACGTTTGCCAGGCAGGTGCTTATGCCGCTGAGCTAAATCTCCAGCCCCCACAGAAGGCCTTTTGAATCCCTGAACACAAGTAGCTCTTGTTTTCAAAACCCACCAATTTCACATTTATTGTTTTAGTGATTTGTTGATTTCTGTTTTTCTACTAACTAGGCAAAAATGCCAGGGAGTCAGGCCAGTTTTTGGAGGGACTTTGTGGAATTTGGGGATTTTGTGGAACAAATAGACTTAGTTTCCGAAGTTCCTTGGGGTCAGGGATCATTGTTTGTTGAACTGTTCATATGTTCACAGTTACCAGGGGGTAGCAGGCATGGCTGGAATTGCCATCAGATTTAAGGATGGTAATATTCATGGAAACTGGGGGCTTAGAAGTGTGTTTGTAGTCGTAACAGAAGGGATGTTAGAGTTTGGACTCCAGTTTTAACACTGAGTTTTTGTGATGGAAGTAGTCATTTGAGATTTGGCTCTTTACCTGTGCAGTGGTGGTTTGTATGCTGTTTTGAAGATTTTAAAAATTCCTTTGATCCAAGCATTAGCACTGTGCCTGGTGGATAACAGGTGTATTGTAAACAGTGGCAGTGTCTGTTGTCAATCCATACCTGCATGTGACAGGTGGGTGCACTTATTAGCTCCAGCTACTTTAGGGTGCAGTAATGGACGACCCTGGAGATCTCAGGGAAGAAGGTTTGATTTTCTCTTTCATGTCATAAGTCCTTGGTGGGTCTGTCTTCAGCACTTCCCCCTGGGAGCCAGGCTGAGCTGCTGCTTTGCGGAACTGCAGATGTGCCATCATGTCCACTTTGTCCTCATTCATGGCGGCATGAACGTTTAACTTCAGTGTTGGTTGAAAGGAGTCACAATTGTGAACTAAAATCAAACCCTGGCTCATCAGATCCTGAGCATTAACACACATTGGGATGCTTGTATTCCTTGATTTATAAACCACAATGCTATGCTTTCTCCAGTACTGCAGGTAATAGATCTTCCCTGGGTGCCCGCATCTATATCAAGATGAACTTTTCTTGTTGATAGGTTTGCTTAAAAGACTGAATTATAGCTACAAAACCAAAATGTAGCTGTTGCATATCCGTAATGCACCCTGCTTTTTCATCTGGTTCCCTTTTGTACCTGAGGAATGAGCTAGAATGATGGTAGCACATCTCACAGCTCCGGCCAGCAATCACTGACAAACTCCTTGGTCTTCTTTTTTAGGTTCTTTACTTGTTGACAATGTTTTTATTTTAGATTTTTTTTCTTGTAAATGTAATACATGTTTCCTATGGAAAATTTTAGAATAGGAAAGCATGGGAGAAAAGTGGAGGTTACCAAATTCTTTTCTCATTGATTGCTAGTTGCATCATCCCATGATTTATGATTATTCTCTTTTATGCTGTCTGCTTCTTGAGTAGTGTGACTTTATTATCACAATTAAAGTGTCTTCAGATCACAGTGTTGGATAGATGACCCATTGTGCCTTGATTCTTGCTGTTTTGTTTCATAGTTATTGTTGCTATGTCTGTTGCAAGATTTACACAGCTTCCATTCACTTCTCTTGTAACTATGTTATAGTGATGTGTCTTTTACTTAGGTAGGGAGTGCAATATGATGTAATACTGTCTGAGAAATACATAATGAGGGGCTGGGGATTTAGCTCAGTGGCATAAGCACCTGCCTTGCAAGCCTGTGGTCATGAATTCGATCCCTGGTACTGGTAAAAATACAAAAAAAAAAAAAAAACAAACCATAAAAAATACACACACACACACAAAAGAAATACATAGTGAATGTAAATTGAAAAATTAGAAGTATATTTCCAAATTAAGGCAGAAGCAATGTTGCTTAGTTCTGCCAGTCATTGAATAGTGGAATAAACTGAGTTTGATTTTTAGCAGCAAAGCTTGCAAAAGGAAAGTTTGTATTTCAAAAATGAGTAACAGCAAGCATATAAAGGGAATGGAAGTATGAAAAGTATTTTTTTGTTTTGTCTGAACCATTGTTGTTTTATACCAACACCTAATATGGATGGCAAACAAACAAAAAAAGACTGCAGATCAACCTCACATGAGACTGTGGATCTGACTCTGTGAGTATAAACACATGTAATCCAATTACACTGGTTAATCATTCAAGGAAAGCCAGGACATATATTTGCATCCCTCATTCTGGTTTTGTCACCGAACTGGATCAAAGCAGTTCTATGCATGCACTAGGGAATGAGGTCCACTTACATGTGTAGATATGGAAGAAACACTGCATGCATTATTAATTGTACAGTATAAACACTATATCATGTTTCTATTTATGTAAGAAAATTTTTCTGTCTGGAGAAATGTGTGTTTGTGTAAAAAACTTTTTGTAAGGGTAAAAACAACACTTATAGTAGGAGAGGAAAAGATGAGGCTAGGAGAAGAGACTGGTTTTAATATGCTTTTTTCTGTTTGTTTTAATCAGATGCTTGCAATTTTGGAACTAAATTCATTTTTTCAGTGGGCAGCTCTGTGCCAAAATAACTTCATGGAAATCTTAGGAGCAAATTCTCCTCTTCTGAGGGTGCTATGCTTATTCCACTAGAGGTCAGTGTCACCAAGTGCAGCTGGGGACGTCTTGGGGCCAGACCTTAGGGATGTAGTCTTGCAGTTGGATGGCCCTGCTGTTGTTCACGACCGTTCGGCCACCTGGTTACTAGAAACTGTTGACAGAAATAAGTATCTGCAGTACCAGATGTGCAGATTATGATACTTAAAAGTTTTAAGATATGTTTTCAAAAAACATATGTCTAGAACTATAGAATGTGATAACCATTTACAAGCACTGACTTGTGACTACTTTAAATCATTCACAGACTAGAAATCCAAGGATACAAGGATCAGTTTACAATTACTTGTTTATAACTTTTAAATTCCTTAATAACCAGGTTTTTCAAATTCTAATAATCTCATTATAATATGGCTACTAAGTTGCAGGGGGTTTTGGTGTGTAGTTGAGTCAAACAGGTTCTTTATTTCCTGCTTTTCTTCTGAAAACATAACTGTCTTATTTTCTCTGGACCCAGGTTAGTCTGTGGTCTCTATATGCTTCCTTTCCATCACTATTGTCAGTAGGCCTTCCTTGTTATTATCCAAATTGCATCTGTGGTTTTATGCTCAGAGTAGAAAAGAGATTAAAGAGAAGCTGGGAATGATGGCACACACCTGTAACTCCAGCCCTCTGGGAGGCTGAGGTAGGAAGATAGCAAGTGCTGTCTGCCTGGATAACTTAGTTACTTAGCAAGACCCTATCTCAAAATAAAAAATTTTAAAAATGCTTGAACTGTAGCTCAGTGCAAAGGCCTTTAGTTCAATCCCCAGTACTGAAAAATAAATAAGTACAGAAAAGAGTTAGGGGGCTGGGAATTTAGCTCAGTGGCATAAGCACCTGCCTTGCAAGCGCACAGTCGTGAATTCGATCCCTATACCAATTAAAAAAAAAAGGTATAAAATTTCACACATTTACTATTTAATTGAAAGTATTCTATGTATTGTTTTCTTATGTTAAAGTCTCAACAAATCAGCTGTTGAAGGGTTTCCTCAGCGTATGTGCAACGAAGCTCTTGGCCTGCCAGCGGTGAGCCAACCTGTGGTTCCTCATTGCAGGCTGCTCTCCCTGATGCATCATGTCCAGTTTTGAAGACGCCGACACGCAAGAGACGGTCACTTGCCTTCAGATGACTGTTTACCACCCTGGGCATGTACAGAGAGGTATATTTCGATCCATCAATTTTTCCAAGAGAGAGAAACTCCCTTCCAGTGAAGTGGTGAAATTCGGCCGCAATTCCAGCAGCTGTCATTACATTTTTCAGGACAAGCAGGCATCCAGAGTCCAGTTTTCTCTGCATCCGTTTAAACCATTTAATAGCTCCGTTCTTTCCTTTGAAATTAAGAACCTGAGTAAGAAGACCAGCCTGATTGTGGACAGCCGGGAGCTGCGCTACCTCAACAAGATGGACCTACCCTACAGGTGCATGGTCCGGTTTGGGGAATACCAGTTCTTGCTGGAGAGAGAGGACGGAGAGTCCTTGGAGTCTTTCGAGACTCAGTTTGTTTTTTCTCCCAGACCACTCTTGCAAGAAAACAGCTGGCCAACACAGAGCCCCATCCCCGAGGATGGCAGCTTCTCGTCGGGCTACACTCGGAGCTCCTTCCCCATGGAGATGGATGAAAACGAATGGTGATGCTGCATCCCAGTGGCAGAGGCGTCAGACGTGCACTTTGCTGCCAGTGTGCTGTCCAGTGGGAGCCGTCTGCGCTGCCACGCCTTGCATTCACAGGTCTCCAGAAAAAGTGCACGTCCAATGGATCAGTGTATGAAAATGCCCCTTGTGAGCAGATTATGCTCAGGTTCTTCCCTTTTGCGACCCAATGTGGTTCCAGGCCTGGGTTTCTGCTCACGCATTGCGTCTTTGCAGAGCAGCCGGGATTCCCGTATTCTGGGCTTCAAGCCTCAGGCGACAAGACTTGTGACCTGTGGGGACTGGTGCTGCTGAGCGCCACTGTGCAAGAAGTGACACCTCTGTAATTGCAAGAAGTGCAATTACAGAGTATCTTCCTGAAAAGGCAGGATCTAAAACCAATATTTAAACATTGTAAAGAACCACTTCGACTGGGTTTATTTTCTTACCAAGTTTTAAATTCATCTTTTGTGTTTTACATAACTAAAATTTCATGAGTTCAAAATTTTAACATCCAGGGTGCTCTATAAGTAAACATGTGAATATTTATAATAAATGCTTAAATATTTCTAAAACTTTAGCTTCTAAAACAGTTGTCTTGAAAGGACCCCACCCAACTAGTTTTTGCAAGGTTTAAATAAACGTTACTAATTGCTATATAAATAAGAATGATTATCATTCAGTTATGTTGGATATGGAGCACTAGCAGTGACACTCCCTGTAGAATTTTCCAAGTAAATAAAATTTTTGCTTACTGTAAAAAGTTCATCTTTTTTGGAAAAAATTACTAAAATTTGGTAACAAATCCTACTAAACCATATGCATATATATGTATATGAATATTAACCCTACTAAAAATATATATATATATATATATCTGTATTTGTTGTTTTGTTTTAGTTTGGCTTGATTGTGTTTTGGAGATGGGATCTTGCTGTGTAGCCCAGGCTGGTCTAAAACTTGTGATCCTCCCACCTCAGTTTCCCTGCCCAGCTGGGATTTCAAGCATGCACAGCCACACCTGGCAACCTTTTCCCTGTTCAGATCATCAGTTGCTCCTGACCTGTACAATGTGACATCCTGCCTCTCAGCCTCCCTCCCCAGTCCTGTTACTATGGAGAACTGCCTGTCTCTGCTCGAAGTCTTTCATCTGGTTTCCGTGCTTCTTCCTGTGGTTGGCACAGTTTGACGTCAGACTGCCCCACCTGGTGTCCCTGTGCCAGCCTCCACCATCTGGGAGTGTGTATCACAGTTAAAGAATTAAGGCTGCAATGCAAGCAATGTTGCTCATCAGTTGACCTTGAACAGAGCAAATACTCTGGATTATGCTGGACCCAGATAATTACATGGTCCTGAAAAGTGGGAGGGGCCGAAGAAGGCATCAGCGTGAAGCACGACAAGGGTGTGGGAGGCTGGAGCCAAGGAGTGCGGGCAGCTCCGGAGGCTGGACCCTGAGGCGACTGAGCCCTGGACAGTGGAACTGAGTCCCACCTTGAATTGGGTCACAGACACCTGGGTTCTGTGTCTTGCCTGTGGAATCTAAGATGATATTGTGTGTGTGTTGTTTGGTGCTCTGACTTGCAGCAGTCTCCCTCCGGCCTGAGGTTACCTGCTGTCTGTCATTTCTTGCCACTGCCAACCAATTGCCTGCCTTGTACTCTCTTCCTAGCAGTGTAGCTTCATGGATGAGGATTTACAAACCAGGCTGTTCAGCTGTCAGGACTGCTTACTGTGGAGCTTCTTGGTAAAGGCTGCCCGTGAGCAAAGAATAACTATTATTTTTAAAGAGGAAAAAAAAAATAACAATTTCAAAACATAATTAGAGGGTAACAATGGTTAATACATTGCATATTGTTACCTTTTAGTACAAGATAATCTGTATTTAATTGTCCAAACAATGTTAGCATAAACCTCTTTTCAATGAACTAAGAGAAATTAGTAGTATAACTATCAACTACCATATAAATATATACACACGTTATTTTAGCTTCTCACACTAGGGAGACAAGGAGACAATATGATGTTTATTCATGAGAGTCTGATTTATTTCACTTCTGTGTATGGTCTAAAATATGTATTTTATTGTTTAAATGATGTCACATTTTGGAAGAATTTTCACTTCTGTTTGTTGTCTTTGATCCTGGATAACTGATTAAATTGCAAAGTTTTAATGTTAAGGAATCTCTGTATCACTGTCGCTGAACCCACACAATGTGAGAGGTGATACCATGTTCACCTGAAGTAGTGATTTCTCTACTGTTTATCCTGGAAAGGGTTTCGAACTTAAGAACTAAGGAGAAGGTTGCTGAATAGTAACTTCAGTTTTTCCACAGAACAGAATCACCAGCCTGATTCTTAGCCAACGCTCATGGGTAATGACGGAGAAGCAATAGGATGTTAAGGTTAGGACCAATCGCTCACCAGACTTCTGGCAGAGGTGCCCCAGTGCAGAAGGCTGCAGCTAGCAGGTAGCAGGGGTGTCTCAGAGCATGGGGACAGGGCAGATTGCAGGTATAGTTACGCGCCTCCAGCTCTGTCCCGATCCTGTTCAGCATGCAGAGTTCCATGTTGCCCATTGCTGGAGGGCGGGGGGAGCAGCTCCAGGGAAGGCTCAGCCTGGGAACCTCAGCCACTCCTTGGGCATTGTGGTCACGTCTTACAAGAGCTGCTGCAGTCAGTGACTGGTGGACAGGAAAAGGATTTTCTCAGTATCCACAGAGGCAGCAAACAGAAATCCTGGTATTCATCAGCTAAAGCTAAGCTGCAAATATCTCATGGTACCCTCAATGGACTCTTTAGTCCCTCCCTGGTGTTAGTTTTCCTGTGGTATATGTTTAAACAGGTGGAATGGGGCATCTGTTTGTTAAAGCTTTACTTTTAAAATAATGTATTTAATATACACATGTGCACAGTAGTAGTTATGTCTTGTAGGAAAATTCACCATAATCTCAGGAGGTGTGAGTACGTTGGCACTGTGGGTAAGTGGTAGCTGCTTCCGTGTTACCTCATGACCCCTTTCCTATTTCAGTTCCACGCTTGTTTTTACCCTTGTATTAACTGTCATCTGTTAAAATAGCAGGTGTGGCCACTATTTCATTGTGTGGGTCATGACTGAAACTAGCAGTTTCCATTCTAGGTGGTGACTAAGAATGAGAGCAGTGAAGCTTGGCTGGAGTTTACTGGGCTTCTATCCAGCTGAGTTATCCCGAGTCCAGTCACTCACCCTACAGGTCCATCTCCAGGAAAACATTTATTCGTGTTGCACCCTCCAGACAGTGGACTCAGGGCCAGGCACTCTGGTGAAGAAAATGGGAAAGTGGTGCCGGCTCTGTCACTGGTTTCTTCATAGTGCTGCTGTCCAGGGACCAGAGAGAGACCAGCTCTGCTACTAGAGGCAGTGAAGTCGCTGCTCAAAAGCCCAAGTCATTAGAAAACAGAAAGCGACTCTGCTCAGACAGTCACAGTGCAGCGCAGCCGTGGAACTTCGCCTTAGGCCTTTTGGTGATAAGATCCCTTTGGGGGTCTCAAAACAAGTTTTCTATCCTTAGATAAGCAAAACCCCAAACAAAACAAAACAAAACCCTCAACACACACACACACACACACACACACACATACCGTCCCCACTTAGGAAAAATCCACAAACCAAAACATCTCCCTCAAAATGAAACCACTCAAAAACAATATTGACCCAAGTTCTACATAAGTTTAGTACTGAGTGGGTTTTGAATCACACAGGGGTTTACCTTCCATTTCTGTGTGAGCTGACAGGAACTCCAGTTCCTTTTCTGAAAAACAAGGGTTATACTAGTGGGTGCCCCCCACCCCGTGGTGATCAGCCAGGGGGGATGATCCCCCAATCTTCACAGGGCATGGATATTACCAGCGCCCTGAGCAGTTGGAGACTCAGATTTAATGGTCAGACATAAAAAAGTTTCTGAACTATTGTCTACAAAGGACATTATCTGTGTTAGAAAAAAAAAATCTCTTAATTTTTAATAGTAAAAATATTCCTACGGTTTTAATCATTTTTCTAATTTCATTTTCATTTAACATTTCCTATGGATACATGCATCAGATGCAGGAATTTTGTATTTCTCAAATATTCCTTTGTGCTTTCTACCGTCATATTTTTTTTTGTCTTTTTTGAGATGGGGTCTCGCTATGCAGTTCAGGCTGGCCTTGAGCTCATTTTGTAGCCCAGGCTGGTCTCGAACTCGCAACGACCCTCCCACCTCAGCCTCCCAAGTGCTAGGATTACAGGCGTGAGCCACCATGCCCAGCTCTTAGATAATTAACAGGAGGAGCCAAGTAAATTAAGATAGGAAAACAGTAGATTCAACATAAGTTATTTTTTCAGATACCTGTTGAGAAATTATAATTAGGATACCATTCTATAAGGTTAAGATAAATATTGTCTTCTACTAGAATAATGTTTATCCAATTCCTGAAAAAGGCAGGCATAATTCCAAATGCCATGGAGAAATATCTAAAGCTTTCTAGTTTCTTGAGAAAAAAAATCCTCACATAATTTCACATCCACATCAGCTACCACATTTCAGTGTTTTCTGGAAGTGAAATTTCCATTAAAATGTCTGCACTGCTTATTCTTTTATCTCCTAACTCCCGGGGTTGTATCTCTTCTGCTTGGGTTTGGATCTAGATGTCCCCCTCTAAACTTCCATGCTCCGGGGTGAGCTTTTGGAGAGACTGGGTCACGGGAGCTACACTACACTCCTGAGAGTCCCTGAGGTCAGAAGCTGAGCATGCTGCTGGGGGTGGGCCTGGTGAGACGGCCACTGCAGGTGTGGCCTGAAGTGTATTCCCCCCTTCTCTGCATCCTGGCCACCGTGGGGTGAGCAGCTTTCTCTCCACCAGGCCCCTCTGCTCGCACCTTCCACCTTGGAGCCATCCGTGGACTGTACCCAGGAGCCAAAATGAACTTCTTTTAAGTTGTGGGTGTTAGGTGCTGTGTCTCAGTGATGAGAAAATGACAGACACCTTCACTTGACAGACACCATGCATTTGCCGTCATTTCCTAATGCAGCTAACCCTCCTCAAAGCACTGGCACCCCTTTCTTTCCTGGCACTTGTAACCCCACATGCTCTGGGTCCTCATATTCTGTTCTCCAGATTGTCTCTACTCCCAGTCTCCAAAGGTTAGCATGGCAGAAATATTTTGTCTGCCTGTCTACATCCGTGGGGAAGTGTAATAACCTAACCTAACCTCAGCTAGTGTAATAACCTAAAATACCACTTCCCTACTGCTGACTCCCTCGCTTGTACCCAGGCCTTGCCTTGGAGCTCCAGACACACATCCCAGCAGTGTCAGTGCTCATAGTGAGTATCTTCATTCAAATGCTTCCAGCGACTCACCTTTGGCTTTTCCCGTGGGACTCATCACAGTGCTCCCAGAACATCTATTTGGTCAGTACAGAAGGAAACTTGCAGGGCGCACGTGAAGCAGCTGCCTTGGCTGTCACAATCCCATGACTGACAGGCGGGTGACGAGAGCCACCCATTTAGACTGCTTACCACCTGCACAGACGGTGGCGCCCAGCAGCAGCATGGCCACTGGCTCCTCTTCATGGCCCAGGTCGCTGCACTGCAGGGGAGGCCACTGGCTCTTCTGTCCGAGTGGCGATATGGAATCAGCTGCCTGCTCAGCCAACTTGTTGGAAGACCCTGCTGTGCCTCCCTGTCATCTGCTCTGCATCCGTGCAGCTCACACAGCCCGGAGCCACTTGGTCTCACTGTGAGCACTGACACCCACTTGCCCTCTGCAGACCCACTGGCTATAGAGCAGCCAGGCACCTCAGGATACAGACGTGCTGAGACTATGAAATGCCCTAATTTACAAAAAAATGTCAGGTGCTTTCACCAGGGACCAGGGTTTTCACTCCATCTGGCCACTAACTGCCCTCTACTGTCACCGAGGCTGCAAGACATGCTCTGGATGCGCAGCCTTGGGCCCTTTTCCTGTCCCCATAACCATGACCAGCTCTACCCACCTCATAGCCCGAGCTTGCCAGGCCCTCGTACCTGGCTGGGTTCACGCTTCAGCATTCTGGGGGAGGCTGCCCTGTCCTGTCAGGAGCAGCCCCCGGCCCTGTGAGCCCCAGCTGCCGCCTCGTGTGCTTTCTGACTGACTGTAATCCATCACTGCATGTTCTCTCACCAGGGGCATGTGTGGTATTTTTACTGCTGTTTCCAACATCCAGCTCCAGGGTCTGCTCGAGAAATATTTCTAGTGTTTTTTATAAAGCAAAAATTTAATTGTATATCTTAGTAATTACAACATTTCAAGTTTAGTTCCACCTTCTTTTCCTAATTTACTTTTGGTTTTCATATCAGGTCTATAAAATAAGTTTGGAGTTATATCTGCATTTTTAGAGTAAAACCAGTAATTAAAAATCAACTTATTTTTAAATGTAAAAATGTGTTTATTCACAATCCTTGAGAAGTTACCAGTCCATCAGAAAATTCTTTATGAACAACAACAAAAAAATTACAATAGTAGCTTATGCCAACCAAAAATATACATCTGATGTGTATAAACCGTAGAAAGCGTTAACCCAAGCAATGTGAAGAAAGTACCTTTAAATATTTCCAGGGACACAGCTATAACTTAAGACATATAAATAACAGCATTACTGTATTTACATATTAAAGTGTCATATTTATTTCTACCAGATTTTTAAAAAGGACAAAATAAAAATACAGTTGTCATTGCCTAGAACTTCAAATATTGAAAGGGCCATGTGAATTTTTTAAAACAGCAGGAACTTTAAATTACTATTTATTTCTGGATCTTCCTGTATTTTTGAGAACATGCACTATAACTGTTGCAAAAGAAGGAACAGAAAAACCGTACTAAGGAAAAAAACCTTGCTTATTGAAATCCTCAGCAAAATCAAGGAAAGCAGTTAGGGGTGTTTTAACATCCCCAGCTTTTATACTGATGCTTAACTTAGAGCAGAGAGTTGAACTGTCTACCACAAAATGCAGTTATACATAGTGATACGTTTACTTCCACTGCAGCAAAGCACCTTGTACTACAAGGCACAGGGAAGCATAATAAATCGGTAGGACCTTTCATACCAGAAAGGATTTTATTTAGTTTAAATACCCGTATTACCTTTTTATGTTTTCCTTTCTTAAATCATTTGGAGAATAATGTTCTGTGTAAAATCTAAGATCACTCATTGGAAATACAGAAGTAAAAAAATAATGACACCTAAAAACTTAATACAGCAATTTAAAAGCAGTATAGGTGAGCGTAAGTATAGATTTTTTATTAACAACCTAAAACATCCAAACCGAATGCTTGTTTTTGTATTTTGTTCTGACTGAATCAACACCATTGTACTAGGACATACAAATGTAGAAAGAAACTGATCCTTCAGCATTTCTTAGGTCATCGACTCAAATCAATTGTGCTTCTAACTGGATAATGGAATTCTGAGCAGTCCTAGAATCAGCACTGCTAGAAAAGGGAACCATCCCAAATGTGACCCTGACTACCCCACCCCGAGATGCCCCCTCACATCTGCTGAGAATTCATCAAAAATACTGTAACATTTTCACCACAGATAAAGAGATAGGTGGGGAAAAGCACTCCAAGTAAAATTAATAAAGATTTTAAAATGTGAAAACCTACAAGAGTGAACAGGAATGCTATAAGAGTTATTAGAAATTTAACTGATAACATGACAGAATTATTAAATTGGTCTTAAAATGCAGAAGGCAGATGATAAAATTGCACTTAATTCTGAAGCAGTTCAGATCTGTCTGACCATTTTTACACCTTCCTAATCAAATAAACATTTCCAGGGCAGCGCCTCACTGCCCTTACAGACCACAGGTCCATTCCGGTTGGGTTTTAACATTTGGTCAAAACTGAAGAACGGGGGTCAAACAATTTTGCACTATCGAATCTGCTGATCGGTATCTGAGTGTTTGATGCCAGAATCAGACAGTTCCAATACGGGATTTACAAATCCAGAATACTCAGAATTGCCGTTATCATCCACCTCGGCGCTAACGAAGTCGTTCTCCCACTCCAGCCCATTGGAGTCGTCCGAGGCAGAGGTGGGGTTACTCCCGGCCTTCCTGCCTCCGCACTTCAGCGCTGCCCGCAGGATGTCCTCCTCCGTCTTGGAGCGCTCTCTCACTGGAAGCATCCTGTTCATCCCTGCGGTTTGAATGGAGTGCAAAATGTCTCAGTAAAGACAAAACATATTAAAAGCCTCCGATTATTGTACAGTTGTTGCTATTGTTTTTACTGTCAGTCTCGATTTGCCCTGTAGCCCTGAAGAGCCCCTCTTGGGGCAAGCTTCTGGGGTCCAATCTTGAGCTATAAGAGGTAAGCATTCACCAAGGGATAGCTCTGAGGCAACACTGACCACATAACACAAAGGTGCTAAGGAGCCATGAATCAAACAGAATGGACGGAGGTTTTCAAATGCTAGTAAGTCTTCCATGGCCAAATCAGTCTGTCTGCCAAAAGTCCTTCCCTACCCAGATGATGATTGCAGTTTCCGGAGAATGACACTCACCCTCGAGATGCTAACAACATACGCCTTCCCAGCACTTACTGGGTTCCTATTAATATTGCATGCACTTCAAGTTTATTAGTGATTTAATCCTCAGCGGCTCTCTAGTCCCATTAACCCCATTACAGACCTGAGGAATGGGGGCAGAGAGGTCAGTGATTTGTGCAAGGTCACACAGTTATAAAGCAGTAGGGTAAGAATTTCTCTTCTCTTCCTTTTTGGTAGTGCTGGGTATTTAATCCAAGGCCTTGTGTATGCTTAGGAAGTGCTCTATCACTGACCTACATTCCAGCCCTGGGAAAGAGTTTTAATTCATTTAGTCTTGTTCCAAAGCCTAACTATATCCTAACAGTACCGTAAGAATACAGATGTTGTTGATAAATTATGAACATAAATCAATAGGAGGTAAAAATTTATCAGAATAAATGTAAGTCTGATGACTGAAATCCAAATATGTAATAAAGTAAGTATAGGACTGAAGAAATGGTGTTCAACTGAGAAGAATGAACAAGTTAATTTCTCTGATAAGGATATCCAAGTTTCCTGAATGTGTTTCTTTCCAGATAAACAAATGAGCATGACCACAGGCTATCCAAGGCCTATTCTATCTCAAGGTCTATGAAACAGTTGATGCTAATTATTTTTCTCAAAGTTTTATCTTATATAATTGAGCCATTCTTGTTCTATTTCCTGTTTCCTATCATGAAAATGAGAAGCTGAGCCCCATTCTATCAAATCTCCTTGAAAATACAAAGCAAAACAAAAGAGCTACAGTTTCAAGTGCTGGATTGTGCCACACTCTGCACTGGCTTGCCTTATCCTCACAATATTCATTCATTTACTTAGTCATCTCTTTTTTAATTGGCTGTTATATGCCAAGCAAGTTAGATATCAAATACACATAGTAGTGGAAAATTATCTTTTCAGGTTAGATTTATTCTTTCCTTTTTTAATGAACTGTAGTTTAGAGAAGTTAAGTAGTCTAGAAGTAGGAAGACATGCCAGCTAAGATTGAAACTCATATCTGAATAAGGGCATTTGTTCTACTAAAATAACTAATCATAAAATTGCTAATTTATGATGACTCCAAAGTGAAACTGACTTTGGCTTTAAACTGCCCACAAGGGGGCAGTAATCCCTCATACTGAGTCATATGTGAAGGATTATAAAAAACCTTACCGTTTTATTTTCACTCTCAAGAAATAGTAAAAGTCAAACCATTTACCAACAAATGATAATTACTAATGCAATTAACAATGTAGAAATATGTTTACATTTAGTTTTCATTAATTTCAGTTTAAACAACAGATATTTACACAAATCCATACAGATTAAACTCTCCAGGTAAAAGCGAATTATAAAATACCTTCTTCATCTTCCCACTCCAGGTCTAAGGACGTGTTGTCATCATTTCCACTGGTGGATTTTGTTTTAGTTAGTAAGTCACAGCTGCTTTCTGTATTTGGTGTCAACACGGTGGCATCTGAAGAGAGTCCTGGAACACCCCAAACACAATTACATGTTGTCACTGCTGTTTCACCACAAAGCTATCTTCTTTTATAGTAATTATCTCTCCAAATATTACTATGCTTTCTGATTTCAAAAGAAACAATTACTGAAGTCATTACATTGGTACGTCTCTGGAAGGAGTAGTATAAAGGCCTTTTTTTTTCCTATCTAAGAATAGACATGCAAATTTGAGTGAATTAAGCTTTTCAAATATGATGAATCCAAGTAATGCTTCTAATAGCCAATTAAACAGAGAGACAAAAAAAAACCCTAAAAACATGAAACACCTGAAAGGTAGCCAGCATTTTTAAAATGAACTGTGCCTATGTTTTTGCTTCCCAGCAGCACAGGACGTAGGAGTTGTGACTTCAAAACTTGAGGAAATACTTCAGTCTTGTAAATGACTCTGTCGTAAATAAAGTAAGTAGGCTTCTGTCCTCTTTCCTCCTACCTCCTTTGCTGTGATCCGCATAGTACCTGACTCCCTGCCCTGGATCTGCACAGCAGCCTGAGGCAATCCCTGCTCCAACTCCTTTTCCAGAAGGAAAGATGATCACTGTGTAATTCACAGCTACTTCCCTGACTTCTCTGGGCAATACAAACCGAAGGGCAAGAAGCTCTACAGGAAAAGAGGCACGATCCCCAGTCCTCTCTTTAATGTGGCATAAAGTAAACTGAAAACAGAGAATATTTTAAAACACTTACTGCTACTTCGAAAAACTTCATACTGTGACTTTATATTTCTCATACAAGATTCAAAGTCATCTTCTGGTGCTGAACTGTAATAAAAATGAATTATAAGATTATAATCCTAGTAAGGAAAACATAATGAATGCTCAAGTGTGACCTGGTCTGAAGGCCTATCTCTCAAATTCACAAGGATGACACAATCAGGATAATCCAACAAGAACAGCTCTCAATGTTCTCACTGTCAGCATGAAACTGAAAGTACTCAGATTTTGATTAATTCTGAAGTCAAAACTCTAAAGCTTAGCTTGGTTCTTCAAGTTGGCTCCCTGTAGAAATGTGATGCTGGCATGTCTCTCCCAATAAACAATCGCTCATTAACTTGGTCATAAGAAAACAGCTGAGAACACCAATAGCTGTGATTACACATGCTTTACGCAAAGCAACTGGCTACTGTGTCCCTTTATGTGACTGCTTTTCGAGGTTTCACTGTGCAGTTCAGGCTGGCCTTGAACTCATTTTGTAGTCCAGGCTGGCCTCCAGCTTACATCAGCTTCCCAAGTTCTGGGATTATAAACATGTACACCATACCCAGCCTTCAGCGACCACTTTTCAAGACTCACTGAGGTCATTTAAATAAGTGATCACCTCTCAATTTAGAGAAAAATTCTGTCTGTATTTCCTGAGACAGTACCTTAGAAAAGCAAGTTAATTTTTGTTTTATTTTGTGCTGGAGATTGAGCCTGGGGCTCCGCTTGGAGCCACATCTCACGCCTTGTGACTTTTAGGGACCACATAAACATGAATAGAGTTTCAAACACCCTGAGGTGCAAGGTGTTCCCTTTGCAGATAACAGTTTTTACCACACAGGGAAGAGGAACTGCTCATTCATTATTTACCTTTGATGGTCACCACTGCTTGACGGATGATACTGCTGCACAACTCTCTGTCTTTCTTGCTTTGGAGATATAATAATATAAAAGTCACTCTGTTGCAAAATTGTATTTTCTGAATGGCTCATGCATGTTTTTTTTCCTAGTTTCTAGAAACAAAGTTATCTTGTTGAAGCTCTTCAACTGGTCACTATTCACTTTGACATCCTCTTACTTATGGATAGAATTGTACTTAATTTATCAGTGTCTATGTCCAAAGTGCTTAGGCTATTCACAGGTTTTGAAGTTAGCTTTTGAACAGATAAGAACTGGTGTCCTCAGCATTCTTAGTGTACCTATGCACTTCCAGTGCTGAAAGGGTGAAGGGTAAGAAAGGAACAGGTAAAACAGTAACTCGGGCTAGTCAGTGTGAAGTAGGGGCAATCAACGGAAGCACCGATCATGGGAACAGAACTGGTCTAAGGCGGCCCGCTTAGCCCCGACATCACAAACCCTACTTCCCAGGCACGCATCACCTCTGTCGCCTCTCCCAGAACTCACAGGTGGCTGCAAAGTCAGGTTTTGGATGGAAAAACCAGCGAACTGGGATGGTGCAAGTGTGAGTGTGAGTGCATGCTGTGCAGATTGCATGTTCTGAGGGCAAATGTGTAGTCAGGAAGTGAGAACTCAGGACTCAGGAAACTGTTCAAATGGATGCTGAATAGAAATACTTCAGTTTCTAAAAGGCAGCAGTAGAGAATTTATTGTAGTAGAAATAGTGCCTCTGTTATAACTAAAAACCCCTTGCAAAACCATTGTTACTTTGTAGAAGGCAGAACTTCTTTACAATCTTTAAACTTTCTATTTAGAATATACATACGAAAATAAATGTCTCTGTATAATTTATATGCTGCATACCCTGCTACCACACACGTGTGCAAATGCACATACACAACTAGGGGAGTGAAAAGAAAAAGCACACACAGTTTACATGGAGGAGGTCACATAACAGCATGACAGAGGGGGGTCTCCCGCTCCTGTGTCTCAGCAGCAGGGTCTCAGGGCTGCCACCTATCTGTCCCTGAGGCCCCGCCTCTGTAAAACGAACATAAAAACCACGCTTTCTCCTGAGACTGCTGTGAGGGTTGAGTGCAAATAAACTTCTTAGAGCAGCCCCTGCGCTCAGGCAGGGCTCTGCAAGGTTTGTTATATACAGCTGCCGGGCTGTGCCAATGCCATCTTCCCACACAGCATGGAAAGACAGGGTAAACTGCTTCCTTCCTTGAACACCCAAACTCTCGACCTCCCAAGACACAACAGCATAAAGATGAGGAGTGCGAATAGCCCTGCAGGGCAGACGTGTACAGCTCATTTTATTCTAAGTACACCATAAGAAATTGCACCAAGTAAAGGAACTGATTTCAGAAACTCTCAAAAATACAGTACAATACTTTGGGACGTATATTTGTTTTGAAACCTTTTTCCTCTGAAAGTGTATTTTTCCAAAAGAATACTGAATTTTACAGTACTAAACTTTACTGTTAGGATAAACAGGTATTAGCTTCTGTTTTAAAGCTAAGCAGCATTCTGTAACAAGCATGTGATTTTGATGTTATTTCCAGGGGTTAAAGATTGATTAATTTGCCTTAAAATGCCAAAGAATAGATGCATAGATACGGTCAGTGTTAAGCAAGCAGCCCTTGACCCTGGGAAAAGTCCCCAATGGGATCTGTCCAAGAAGGTAAGGAGAAAAGCAGCCGTGTGCTGGGGTCTCCTCCTCACCTCCTCGAGCTTTCGCTGCTTGGCTGCCCTGGCTGCTTCACGCTGTGCAGCGTATAAAGCTTCTTCTTCTAGTCTTAACTTCTCCTCTTGTAAGGCTAACTGTGCATGAACAAAACAATAAGGATTAACAGAAACCAGAACCTGTCTAGCTGCTCTCCACAGAAAATGTCTGCATTATTAAAATAAAAAACAAATCATTAAAAAATAACTGATGGCTACAAAACATATCAAAATCGGTGTTTCTGTGTTTGCCTCAATTGTTCCTTTTCTAAAAAGGACCCAGATGATACGACAGTAAGGGAATTGAGTTCTGAAAAACAGCAGCATCTAATTTATAAAAACACATTCTGTTTCTTTCTCTGGAATTTGCAATGATGTTCACTTTGAATAACCATTCTAGGACCTACATCGCGAGTCAGGTTAATGGTGCTGGCCTCCTCGGTAAAAATCTTTACAACTAAGGCCGACTGCATCACCATCCACCCACGAGAGCCAAGTGCTCACGAAGTCCACGTCTCTCCTGACTGGCACTATGCTCATGTCTCCTTTACTCTGTTACTATGAGACTGCTAAGCAGTTATGTTCCAATTTAAATTCTTGCTATTCATAACATGGTGCTTTAGTGACAGTTACTGCATGTCAAATTTAACTTAAAAATCAAATTTTGACATTTTAGAATAATTTTAGTATCTACCGTGTGCCTTAAAGTTCATACATCTAAAATTACCAACTGGTACTAAAACAGTTTTTAAATGTATGGTGCACTCAACTAATTCCAATTAGTTTAGTGATAGAAAAAACTATAGTTTCAGGCTATTTCCATAAATATGTTAAATAAATATAACATTTATGATTATTAGAAATATTTGATCCACTAAGAACAAATAAACCCAAGACAAACAAAAGGTTAAATACCATTTACTGTGAAACACTATTTTAAAAGTTGTTTTAAACACAAAGGCAGATATTCTTGTTAGTATCTCACAATTATGAACTAACAAATTATTCTTAGATGAATTTACTTTGTTAATCCTTATTTTTTTTGCATGTAAAAATCTTTGATAAATTAAGCCAAACTAAAAAATTATGATGGCCTGGGATAATTTATGCAATATACTATTTAGTTACAACTCACCCTTATAAAAAACAAGCTTTATGATAACACAATATAAGCTACATAAACGACTACTTACCTCTTTTTGGATTTTCTTATCAAGATCTTTCTGCTTTTCAGCAATAGAATCATAATGCCTCTCTCGTAGGTCAATAATTTCTTCCTCAGTAAGAGGCCTATAGATTAAAATAAAAAAAAGGAGGCAGGGAAAAGAAAGAAGAAAGAAACTATAGCCAGTGAAATTCTGAAAGTTTACTATCAAAACTGTGTTAATGTGATTTGCTACTATAATTACAGGATACATTGTAATACAACTTTCCAGTTAAAAACATAGTCCTGGGCCAGAGGTTTCTGGCTATTTGGCTCTACTGCCCTGTGTTCAGAAATGCAATTCGGCTTCCATTCCACAGCTGCACTCCAGCCACCTGACCTCCGTCTCTCAGCCGAGTCCCCATCTGAGAGCAGCTCCGGGACACTGTTAATCACAGCGCCTCGCGGCCAGAGCCTGCAGCTCCTGTTTACCCCTCCTGGCCTCACAGAACCCACACTTGCCACAGGCACACACCTGTCCAGCTGCGGCCAGTGGCCTCCTTCACTGCGACACTCACACAGCGCCTGGGCCACTCCCATGATGACCTGCTGCAGATGCAAGAGAACACCTAGCAGTGTGGCCCTCAGCCCTGCGCATATTCTGTGCTGACCACTACAGTGGCACCCTCATGCCCTTCAGCACCCCACAGCTTCTGCAAGCCCCCACCCACTCATTCTTCATGCTCTGTGTGCACTGTCTCTGTTGTAGAGCTCAGCTCAGCCAGCCTGCTGATCAGTACAGGCAGCATTCGCTGAGAAGTACCCCCTTGCCATCCTCTCTGCATACTTCCTGGGCAAGGGGCCTCTCTTCCCAGGTTTCCCAGAGGGTCCTATAAATGCTTTTTAATTAACTTGACCACCTCACACTGAAACAGCACCTCTGGGGCTCTATTTCCAGGACATCTTCTAATGTAGACACATTTACATGTCTGATGTTTAAATCCCAGGGCCTGGCACGATGCCTGGCACATGGCTGCTTAAGAAGCATGTGCTAAGCTGACACCCTAAGGGACTTAATTCAGACATGAAACAGTGCATGGAAATAGTCTCTGGAATTAAGACTGATGTGTCTTCTACAAGTAGTATGTGCAATTTTAACTGTATGTTAGAGGGCTACTTATAGTATCAAGGTTTTAGGTGACAAAAAAGCATGAATAATAGAACAAGTTTTTAGAAGGCTATAAGGAAGGGAGGATAAAGTTGAAAAACTTAGGAAAGCAAATGATAAAATCTAAATTCTCAGAATACTCAAAGTTCACATACAAGTTTTTCTTAAGCCTTACCTGTGACTGCTTCCTGGGCTCTCCCCCTGCACAAAAATTAATGAAAATGATTAAAGAAATTTCACTAGCTGAATTTATCAGGCAAAACAATAAAATTTCTATTTAAACCAAAAATTTTGTACTAACCTATCTTTATCATTATTAAAAGTGTTTGAAATTGAAAAAAATTTTTAATTGTACTATTTTTTAGTGTCAAAGTTCAGTTGGATTCTCCGTGTTTTTCCTGACAGATGCCAGCTTCCCATAGGAGGGCCCTGGGCTGCGGGAGTAGGGGTGCAAGGCCTCCCCACTGGCGGTCTCTTATGCACAGTGAACCCCAAAGCACCCCATCCTATACCCACTGGCTGCCCTGCGCGGCGCACCCCACAGGAGGGTGGCCTCCGCCCTGTCTCCCAGCGCCACTCGGCTGTGTCCAGCAGCTAGGCAGCTCCCTGCGCTCTTGTCCACGGCCCTGGGCACGCACTTGACCACGGTCTGCAGCCTCGGTGCACACAGGCAGGCCGACCTCCGCCTCATCGTGGTCCTGAGCTATGTGCTGCGGAGGAGTTAGGTGTCGTCCAGGCAGCGTTCACAGTGACTGAGTCAACCACGAATGCCACGGAAGAGGCGTTAGACAGGGACACACATAAAACATGGTGAGCATGTGTGGCCGTCAATGCACACGTGGCTGTGCGAAGCGCAGGAATGAAACGCTAACCCAGGAAAGCGTGCCAGGGTGTAGAATGACAGTCACTAACTCAGGAGCAAAGTGCGAAATGAAGAAGAAAAGACTGCTTAGGAAAAACAAGTACAAAGAAAAAGAAAACTTAACCAACGAAATAAAAAATAGCTTAGAAAAAACAAGCAACTGCAAGTCTTCCATGCTGAGAGGAAGTAGTCTGGAGGCTGAAAGCGCCCTTCCCCGAAGGGTTAACAATGTCATGTCCTGTGTTTGCTTACTTAAAGAGCAAGACACAGAGACCAAAGTGATCTCTGAGAAGAGGCGGAAGCTCCGCTTCATAAAGCATTGGGTGTTATTTTACAGGGAAACAAAAGGCTGAGATAGTTTCCCAAACATGCCTATTAAATAATAAATATGCATGCTTTTAAAAGGGATTTACACCCAAATGGCTTTGGGAAATGGTGAGTTGAACAAGTTAGATCATTTTGTTTAACAGTAGTTCTCAGAAATTGTATCATGCTATATATTCTGAGACTAATACCCATACCTGTTCTGAGAAATACCTGACTACAAAATAATTTAATGTTTAAAGTCTTCATGCATTTTCCTCTTCCCTTAGAAAATTAAAAGCGTCAAAGCCACAGTTCTGTTAGCTTAAGAACTGTGCGAGGCGGAGAGTGGGCCCAGCGGGGTTAGCGATTGGCACACGGGCTGATGATCAGCTTGGTGAAGCTGGAAATTGCACATCAACTAATGCTGTTCTCCTAACTATGGCATGCCTAAGATGCGGCACGTTTCACTGGTTCTAAAGTTATCTTTTTTCATCTTGGAACACTTCTCGTCCTTAGTATGCATCTTAAAACTGAGTTTTAGAGGAAATAAGATGCAGAAAATCACCATACTGCATGCTGGCATATGCATACAGCCAGAAGGGACTGCAGAATGAACAGGCATCGACCACACTGCAGAAACCCCTAAGAACTGTGCTTGCAGAAAGCATCCCCTCTAGTTGAGTATTTTATCTATCTAAGGGAGAGATGGTAGAAGCACCCCTTTTGGAAGTTTCCTGAGTTCTATAAAAGAATTAAAACTTCTATGTAGTGTAATGTTAAAAATTCTGAATCCTTGCAAATATAAATTAGTAAAAATTAAGAAATGATAAATTAGGAAATGACATGGGAGGACAAAAAAATTTTTAAATTCTAAAATAAAATTTAAAACATAATTGTTAGAATAATGAGTTTCATATCACAACGCAAATACTTACTTCATCACTTTCTACTAGATTCTCAAACTGTGAAAGAACAAGAAAATAAGTCTTAGGAGGGACACTTATCTAGCAAGATACTGTTACTTTATTCACCTTAAAAGTAATAATTTTATTTTATAAGATAGCGTATTTAAGTGCCTTTTGTACATCCACTAGTTTGATATATTCAGCAGTCCTATAAAATAGCCAAGGCAAGTATATACTATTTGTATTTATGGCAATATTCAACAGAAAGCAGAAACTATATTACAAACTGAAGCTTTCACCTGAATTGACTATTTCATAGAGGCATTTTAACCTATAGAACCAGAATTTTTCACTTCCTTTGAGTTCAGAACAAATGAATATCATAGAGAGGAAAATTAACAAATAAGAACTAAAAAGATACCCAAATAAAATTTTTCTAAATGTTTATCATTATCTATTCATGCATATAATTATTTACTCAGTCTACTAGTATTTACTATGCCCAAACACAATGTCTTCCTAGGAACAGGAATGTGAAAATGTAATTAGAATGTGACAAATGCTATTTTGTCAAATGACCTAATAAGAAATCATAACTATTAAATTATATTATTAAAATATCTCTATTTTAAATACAAATAACCACCTGAAAGAAAAACGAGTTTTATTGTTAATATTATTTAAATGAATTCAAAGGTTTAGAAAACTCAAGAATCTAAGGGATAACAAAGTTGTGCAAAATTATTAAACTCAGTTCATTTTTTTTTTATTGCTTTGTGATTGCTTACAAACCGAGTTCCTAGTTTACATGCTTATTTAATACAGAAGGCACTGAAGTACAGTGGTCAAGCTTGGCAGCAGATAGTTTTGGATTGAAAATTATTTTGTGCTGCTCACGGGTTGTAAAACATGGCCCAATATCTCTATTTTTGTAAGCTCCGATTTCTCATCCAGAAAACGAGGTGACTACTGTCTGCTTGGAAAGAGATGCAGCAAGAAGTGAATCAGCATTCTTCAAGAGCAGGGCGGAGGGGTCGGTTGAGGTAGGAGCTACTACAGGTGTTTCGCAGAACCGCAGGGCTGCCTCTCGCCACACCGCTGCTCATGCTCATGCTGCACTGAACCCTCCTACAGGGAGGCCAGCCTGGTCTGCAGCCTTGCGGCCTTGGGAGCCACTGGTACAGCCGGGCCCACCCACACCCCTCTGCTGAGGCCAAACCAGACCTCTCACAAGACCAGGGCCTCAATCTGCAAGCTTCTCCCTGCCTCCCCTTCTCTTGCTCTTTACCGGAATCAATGTGACTGAAACATAAACAATCCATAGGAAACATGGTCTAAACTTTTTCCACTTAGTTAGAATACAAGGAATCCCTTTTGCCTTCTAAGAGGGCATCCAAGTCATGACTCTACTTACCTCTATAGTCAAGTGCTCACCCCTGGAACATGTTCTAAAGTATTTGGATCTGGGGATAAAAACAGAGAAGCACTTTAAAAGTCACTACCGGCTCTAATGTGATGGCATAAAAGTATTTCTTCGAGGGCAACTTTACACTCTCTAATATACAGTACCTTACATTTATAAAAAGGAACCACCACATCTACCTCTGAAAACAGTCCAGATTTTTAAATGTCATTATGCATTTGATATTTATACTTATTAAACCTGCAGTATATTAATTTACATAATACTTATAATAGAACAGAATTGTTTTAAAATTTATTTCATTTTCACTGTATCCAGAAAATTATCTCATTAAAAAGGGTTAAATATTAGGTAAGGGTATGCCCTCGATTTTGTCAAACATATGTAAAACATTTGAAAAATCTAAAGAGATACACAGTATGTGAAGACTAATTGCCTCCAATAGGGCCATATATATCCCAGGAAGCCTTTTATTTTCTTCCCATACCCACACATAGAAGAGAAGAAACACAGAGCATACACACATTAGCCAAGTCCATTAATTTTTCAGCCAGGACTGAATACTGCCTTTGCTGCTACTCAGCCTCTTCTGCTCTCACCACAGAACCCCCCCCCCCCCGCAGCCCGATGCCTCTTCTACTGTGCCTGCCTGTCCTCAGCGTGCAGGGCTCAGGACGGGCTGAACACATGGGTACTGAGGCAGGAGGGCCCCAGCGGCCCACTGAGGACTCCTGTTCTCAGCACATAACGCACCCCTTTAAGAAGCAGGGGGATGCCTGGGCTAGGGCAGGGCAGAATGCATCAGGATACAGGTAGATGTGCATGAGGAGCCGACAGGTTGGCAGATAGAACACCAGGCTGTCCTGTGCAAAGAATAAACACCGCCATCGCACTGCAGAGGGCTACTTTTCCTGCTATAGTCCTCATCTGTCTCTCAGCAGAAATGTATGTTTTTATTAATTATTAAACTTCGGTTTGTGTTATTTCATAAAGAAATTTCACATTGTTATTTGTACACTGGTAACGCTAGAAAAACAAATGGTTGCTTATTAATTCCTGCCTGCAGCCTGGCAGTCTCACTGCTCATACTCACATAGGCTCTGCACACAGCCTAGGGCGATTCTACACTCAGTGCTCCAGCCAAGGTAAAGGCAGCCCAAGGGCCAAAGCCTCGGCTCCCCGGCCGGGAGCTGTAACCCTCACTTGGGGGAACACTGGACTGGGGCTCCTGCTCCTGACATTCTGTGCTTTTCTTCCTGCAACCAGCACCCTTTCCTGAATGAAAAGGCTGCCTCTGATGACTGTGCCCCTCTCCCCACCTTCCTGATGGTGTGGGTGAATAATGAAATTAGTTCAGCGACACTGAGTGGCCAGATGTAGGCCATGGGCAGGAACAAGGCCTGACACCCAGTGCGAGGCTGTAGCAGGGAGCGATCTGCAGCACTGTGGGTACCGCCGGCAGCAAGGCGGACTCTGCTGAAGCTTAATGTGGGTGTGCACACGTGACTCCAGGGGAAGCCAGAAGAGTTGTGCTGTGGAAGCTTCCCTACTTGTCCATTCTCTCCACGCCCACTGCGTTCCTGACCATTTCCCGACAACCTGACAATCCACAGCAGCCAAAGAAGAGCGACCAAACGTGGCCACACTGTGTCTCCAAGGACCACTGTGTCCCTGCCCTGTTAGGAAACTGCTACCACCGAGAAACTGAGCAACCACGCGGGATCTATCTCCCACTTACAGCAGGTCCTGACTGATACACAAGCAGGTGGCTAAGCAATAATGATGAATAAAATGGAACAAACACAGGGTAAGTGCAGAAAGCAATTCGAACTTGCCCTTTATTATCAATTAGACCGAGCCCTTACAAAGGGCCCATACTGACTGCTACTACCACAAATGCTAGGGTTCCACTGAGAAGTTAAATATTCAGTTTGGCAAATTCAGGGGCAAGGTTTCAGCAAAAAACCTTTAACCTGGACTTACCTGAAAATAAGTGAATAGATAATATAATATTTTATATATATATATATATGAATTATAGATGTTTATTTCTACTCAGGTAAATACTGCTAGTGCCTGGACAAGTGCACTAAATATTAAATTTGGTCACGGATACTTTGCCAATTTTCAGCCATATAAAAACCCTAGCTTTCCACATATTTTTCTGAATCTTCTATGCAATACACACTTTAAGTGATCAACAGCCCACTGTTTGAAAGGTTCATTTCAGATCTCAGAGATGAAGCAACAGTGCCAGGCATTCCCCCTGCTGGCTGTTTAAAGCTCTGAGTGTTTGCTGTGGGCTCTCCTGACTGCTCCTCTGGTCCCTGGCTGCTCCTTCTAGGGAAGGGAAAGAAGTGGGGCAGTCAGGAGAATAAAACGGATCCGCATGAATCCCAGCCTCAGACTCCATAAGTGGCAGAGGCTTTGGGCTCGAGGGTTCTTGAGCACAAAGGAGGCGTGCCTGGGGTAATGGCACAGCACACACACACATACAAAAAAAACCTCCAGTCAGCCAGCAGGCCTTGGTGTGGGGGGGATGCAGTCCTCTGGTGGCAGGCCTTTCTGACCAGGACAGCCAGAGCTGGGTGTGCAGGTGCAACTGTAAACTCAGCATTCCAAGGCTGAGGCAGAAGGACTGTGAGTTCAAGGCCAGTCTGGACTACAATGTGAAACCCTGTCTCATAAATTTAAAAAAAAAAAAAAAAAAGACAGTATAATAGGAGCTAAGATTCCAAGGAAATTTGCCAGATACCTGGAGGAAAAGAACTGTAAATCAAGGAAAAGCAAATGCAGATATCCCTGCAGTGAAACGATGCATGGCTCCTTGGGGTCAGGAGGTGAAAGCATCAGGACAGCTGGGAGAGAGAGGTGAACAGACCCAGTTGGCCAGGCCCTGCAGCCACACAGCAGCTCCGGCCGTACTGTCTGAGAACTCACAGAAGAGTCTGGTTTTTTACATTAACTTTAAAAAAAAATTCCCAACGTGAAACTTTCAAGTATGCACAAAGGCAGAGAGAAGAGTATCACTGACTGCATTGCACACCTCGCCCTGCTTAGAAAGTCACCATTTTCCAGGTTTCGTTTACACCACTCTCGTGGAGCTGCTAGGGCGGGGGCAGGCATGCTCTCTTACACTTATCTCAGTTTGCATCTCTGATCACTAAGAACCTTAAAAGCCTACTTGGCATGTTACTACATTTAGCACAATTAAAAAGAATTCCTTAAAAGTCTTCTGATGTCTCACTCATACTGCCATTTCCCAGTTCTCCTTCTGTAGGGTCGGCCTGACTCGGGAGCTTGACAGCGGGTGCTGCGTTCACCGACTTTTTAGACCTGTGTGCATCACACCGTCCCCCTGTATCCCTGCCTGTTTCCATGCTATTGGATGTCACAGAAATTATGTTGCTTGTCCTGAAGAATTTCTCATTTTCTGGGTTTGGCTGTTACTTTTCCTCTTGGTGCTGTATCTTCTTCCTCTATCTCCTGTACTCCATGTAAAATCAGGATTTGATTTAAAACCTTGTCTAAACTGAAGTTAATTTCTGAAGGCAGGAGTCCTTCTTACACAGTCTTCTGCTGAATCAACCATGAGGCGTTTTTCCTTACATTTTGGATGTCGACATTCAGGTACTGTCAGTCTGATCCATGCGACAAAAGTTCTACTCAACCTTGTTCCCAACAGTTTTGACAGCACTGATATTCCCATCTGCTCCTCCCTAGGACAGCACACAAACCACGCTCTCATTCTTCAAGGACGTATCAGCAACACTAAGAACTTCACAGTAGGATCATGAACTGACAAGCTGGTCTGTTTCAAAGGGCCAACAGGAAAGCTACTGTAATGGAACAGCAGAGAAGCGTTGCTGGTGTGGGTAAGGGAACAGAAGGGGCGGTAATGAAAAGTGGCTGCAAACACTGAGAGTTCACTAATGTATGCGAAGTGGCAGTTCCTGTCAAGGATGTCGCCCAAGTTTCAGGCCTACATAGTTAGCGAATGGAGTTGTCATTTCTGGAAATGAGAAAGACAAGAGGTTTATATTTTTAGATGCCTAGAGCTTGGGATTTACCAAAGCTAAGCATTTGGGTGAGAGTCCTTGATTCCGATTCCAAATCTACAACAGTAATAGAAACATCAACTAAAAAGTTCCTGAAGGGCGCTTCCTATAATTAGCCCCAAGGCTGCTTCCAGTGCCAGATAGGAAAAGCACTTCCCTTCCTCGCTTTGAACTCAGGAAATTTCTGACTTTCTCTTCCTGTCCCAAGGTGCGCTGGCTAGAGACAAAGATGGCAACTTCAGCAATCCAACCTCCCAGACGTGGGCATATGTTATTATTAATACAACCAGATGCTGACTGCTTTAAAGAATTTTCTTCTAATCATTCTGAAAGAATGGAACAAGTCTACTCTTGGGGTACAGAGGAAGGCTTAGTCCAGTAAGTCCCAAACAGAAGGGGAATATTAAAACTAGTGGACCCTTGAATTATGATGAGCCTAACACATGAACAACTTGGGTTACGACTGGAACTTTAGGTTTAACCAATGATGGAAGTCTTGAGTTACCCCCAAATGCCAGCTGCTTGTGCAGTTGTAAACAAAGACTCTCAATGCCAGAAAAGCAGATGTGAGTGTACGCAGGTATCCATCTGAGCTCACATGTTCTCTGAGCCCACGAGTTCATGTGTGTGGATGTGATTTCCATCAGGGCTTTATATAAGTGCTGCAATTACTGCCATCAAGATGGTCCCCAAGAAATCTAGAAAAGAAGCTATGGAAGGAGGGAAGGTTGAGAAAATAATCACAATCAAAAGAAGGAAACTGTTGAGAAATATGAGAGTGGTATTCGTGTGACCCACCTCACTAATAATGTATAGCATGTCCAAACTCACCATCTCGACAATCTCACAGAGAAAAGGTCTGATAAGAAAAGGTCTAAAACTGTTGCTCAAATTATTAAGTCACAATCAACAATGTTAGGACAGGTAAAAAGCTATTGTCAGTGCAGATAAACAAAGGGAGGCGGCAGGTTACAGCCTGAGT